TGTTGTGTTTTTTTTTTTTTTACTTCTTTTTATTATTATTGAATGGTATGTCAGTTTCAGGTATATAACATAGATTTGACAGTTCTGTCCATTAGTTAGTGTTCATCCCAAGTGTAGTCACCATCTGCCTTTTTTTTTTCCTTTGAGATAGAATCTACTTACTGAAAAATTCACCATTGGAAAGTGCACAGTGTGGCAGCATGTGGCGTGTGCACAATCACTGTACTGCAATCATACTAATTCTAGACATCAAGTCCTTTCTTTAAAAAAATTTTTTTTTTATTCATATGAGAGACAGCATAAGAACAAGAGCATGAACACGAACAGGGGTGTGGGCACAGGGAGGGAGAGAATCAAGACTCCCCACTGAGCAGAGAGCCAAAGTGGGGCTCAATGCCAGGACCCTGGGATCCTGACCTGAGCTGAAGGCAGACGCTTAACTGACTGAGCCACCCAGGCACCCCATGCTAAGTCCTTTCTTAACAGCCTTTTTTTTTTTTTTTTGGTTTATATCTGACACTTCAACAGATAGGAGGGGACACCTAGGCGGCTCAATCAGTCAAGCATCTGCCTTTGGCTCAGATCAGGGTCCTGGAGTCCTGGGATGGAATCCTGCATCAGGCTCCCGAAGGGAAGCCAGCTTCTCCCTCTGCCTGTGTCTCTGCCTTTCTCTCTGAGTAGGCATGAGTGTCTCTCATGAATAAATAAATAAAATATTTTTTAAAAGATGTATGGAACTCAGAAAGAATATAATCACTAAGGTGTCCTGGGCTCTCAAGAAGCCACCTCTGTCTGCAGTTTCCTGTGTGTCCTTCAGAGCAAGGCCTCTTGAAGCCATCAGGCCAGTGACCCTTCTTCTGTTTTCAGGGTTTGTTCAAAAAACCTTTGTATTTGGAATAATTTCAGACTTACAGGAAAGTTGCAAAAAAGGTACAAACCATCGCTACTCTCTTCTTGAAGATTCCCCAGGTGCTAAAGTCTTGCCACATTTGTTTCTCCTTGTCTGTCTTCCTAATTATTTGTTCTGAGCAGTTTGAGAACAAAGGGTGTGGATGAGCGTGCAGCCACACCCCAGCAGGCTTTACACCTAGGGCAGGTGACGGTCTGGTGAGGCGGAAGGGAGGAGCCGGAGGCGGGGACAGAGGCACAGGTGTACTGGGGGGACTTCCATGCAGGAAGTCCAGGGGTAGCCTCCTGGGCAAAGCTGGGATCCACATGCAGCTCTTCTAGTAGCAACGAGGTAGCAGCTCTCTGCAGCCTGCCCCTCCTTGCATGGCTGGCCTTCCCAGGAATTCAAGGCCCGCCATTTGGGCACGCTTTGTCACAAAGGAGACGCTCTGGGTTGGCCACCTCTGAGCCCCTGACCTTGAACATCAAACAACACACTCTTCTATGTATTCTGCTTGATGGGCATATAGAGAGCTCTCTATATTCTCAAGACAACAATTGACAAAATCAGTCTTAGGGGCAGAGTTGGTTCCTTCTAGAGGCTCCAAGGGAGAATCCGTTTTCTGGCTTCGAAGCAATCACTCTAACCCCTGCTCACGTGGCCTTCTCCCTTGGCCTCGCTCTTATAAGGACCCTGCCATTAGAGCCCACCTGGGTGATCCAGAATTAATCTCCCATCTCAGAATTCTTAATTTAATCACATTCATGAAGTCCATTTTGCCCTGCCAGGTAACATTTGCAGGTTCCAGAAATTTGGATTTGGACCTCCCTGCAGGAGGCTGGAGGGGGGAGGCACTGTTCAGCTACCACCCTGTTCAATCTGTTAGTGCATCTTTTTAAAAATATTTTATTTATTTATTTATGAGAGACACAGAGAGAGAGGCAGAGACATAGGCAGAGGGAGAAGCAGGCTCCCTGTAGGGAGCCTGATGTAGGACTTGATCCCAGGACCCCAGGATCACTCCCTGAGCCAAAGGCAGATGCTTAATCACTGAGCCACCCAGATACCCCTGTGTATTTGGTTTTTTTAAGTAGGTTCCATGCCCAGCATGAAGCCCAACACAGGGCTTGAACTCACAGCTGTGAGATCAAGACCTGAGCCGAAATCAAGAGCTGGAGGCTCAACCAATTGAGCCACCCAGGCCCCTCTGTCAGTGCATATTCTTAAAGAGCGTTCTCTTTGCAAAAGCACAGGATGGTACCATTATCAGGAGCTGAGCACTGGCTTTTTTAGTACCGTTATTTATTTCACCGACCATATTCTCCCAGTAATGACTTTTATAGCACAAAAATGTCTTTTTGCAGACTGTATTCCAGTTTTCCTAACAATGTCCTTTACAGCAAAAAAGATTTTGTAAGTGACACACACATGTGCTCACACATTTCCCCAGGCCAGGATCACACACATGCCCAGCACATTTTCTTCTCCGTCTGTCTGGAACTATTCTTTCTTTATCATTCGTGACCTTGACACTTTTGTAGATTACAGACCAGTTGTTTTGTCTCAACTCTGGGTGTGTTTCCTTGCGGTTAGATTCAGGTTACACATTTTTGGCAGGAGGATAGGTCCTCGTCCCTCCCCCTCCTCCACCCCTTTTTCCTAAGTAAGCAGTGTAGAAGCATAGACACCAAAAAATGTTCCCAGAGCCTAAGCCTCTATTTCCAGGGGCTTTCTGCAAGTGAATGCCCATCTAACCAGTACCTGGAAACGCCCTTGTGCCCCTTCCCATCACCTGAACCGCCTTTCTTGAATGTGGTCATTAATCTGGCATCTAAGAGCATAGAGTTGTTTCACTTTTCCTTGAATTTGGTACAGACTCATACAGCACATGTGCTTTCATGTCTGGCTTCATTCACTCCACCCTGTGGCTGTGAAATTCTCCCACGTTCAGGGAGTGGCCAAGAGGGGCTTCCAGGGAGCTGGCTTCCTGGGTGCATCCCCTTCATAAAAACTCATCAAGCCTGATGGGCATGAGTTGTGCACTTTTCTATATGTGTGTTATACATACGTGTTTACATTAGAATTTTCTGCCAGAAGAGGGAAGAAAAGAGAAGCATTAAGGATATAGACCCTGGGGTCAGACTGTCCAGGTTTGCATCTTGGCTCTGCTGCTGCTGAGCTGAATGGTCTTGGGCAAGTAGGTTTCCCGAATGTGCCTTGATTTCCTCATCTGTGAAGGGGTTTTATTCCATTCCCCACCTATAAAATGTTATTGTAGGATCTGCCCCCGAGTTGTTACGAAGGTTTAATGACTTCATTTTTAAGTGTTTGGAACAGGACCTGGAATGGAGTTGAGCAAAAATAAAATCAGTGTCCATTTGAACCTCTAAGTTGTGAGAATTGTTCTGGAATTTGTGGTTGATGGGGTAGCTGGGCATTCGCTCTCATCTGTAGGGTCACCATGAAAGCAGCAGATACAGACCCCACCAAGGAAGGCGTGTCATATGGTCCACTCCAATGCCATGTGCCACTTTGCTGTCGGAGATGACAGAGTTCTGAGGTGATGCCCAAATCTTGATAAAATTCCAAACAAAACCAACCACAGTCTTTCCTCAGATTTTACAGTAGCTACCTTCCTGTGTATTTTTTTAAGATTTTATTTATTTATTTATTTATTTGAGAGAGAGAGAGAGAGAGAGAGATTGAGCAGGGGGAAGGAGAGAATCCCAAGCAGACTCTGTGCTGAGTGTGGAGCCCTATGCAGGGCTCAGCCTCATGACCCTGAGATCATGACCTGAGCTGAAACCAAGAGTTGGAGGCTTAACCAACTGAGCCACCTAAGCATCCACCCCCAAAATCCACTCTGTATGAAAACCAAACACAAAGCACTTGTGTTTATACATGAAACAGTTGGGATTCAACTCAGATAATTACAGACCATTATTTCACGGACTCAGATGTCCAGTGGGATATTTAGGAGTCAGATGGGGTGTGGGCAGTTCTTTGTGGTGTGGAGGGGCGTCTTCATCTGGGTCCCCACTTAGATCCTGTGATACCCAGAAACACCGCACAAATTGCCCCATGGCTTCCATGTTTATGCCAGCCAACCCCAGGAGTTCCTGAGATGTCTCTAAGGGCAGCTCTGTCCATTCTCCATCAGCTCTCTGAAAGCTCTGTGCTGACAAGCACTTAGAGTCCATCCTCTTTTGCGGTTTCTGCATTTGCGACTTCAGCTACTCGCTAGGTTTATCCGGAAACACCCAAACCAGTACTCCTGGTGCTTTTGTGATCATCATGTCATTCACATGGGGTGTGGAAAATTTGAATTGTCCAGCGCACACGCAGCTGAGGTTCACCAAAGTGGTGCTCTGCTTCCCGTCTCAGCTCAGTCCGTAACCCGGTATCCTTTTTGCCCGCCACTGAGTGCCACATTTTTCATATTTTTGTGCTTTTCTTGTTGATGGGTTCACTGTCTAAACCCCGCCCCCCCCAAAAGCACTGTGCTTAGTGCTGGCTAGCATCCCTAAGTGCAAGAAGGTTGTAGTGTGCCTAGAGATTACTTAAAAATAAAATCTTAAAAAAAGAATCTTTTCATATTGCCAAAGACTTTCTTCATTCATCTCCACACGTCCCTTTAAATCTTATGTGCATTGCTTTATAAAACGGACACGAGCAGACACCAAATGGTGCTAAAACAAACCTTGAATACAAAATACAGAATTTATCCATCTATTTTTATGTTTTAAGACCTGCCCAGTGTCACAGATGGATTTTAAGCAGAGGTGCAGTGGTGTAATTTGACATAGAGTTGGGGGGTTTTCTTAGAGGTTTTATTTGTTTGAGAGAGAGAGAAAACACATGCAAGTGGGGGGAGGGGCAGAGAAAGAGGAGACTCTCAAGCGGACTCCACACTGAGGGTGGAGCCCAGTGCAGGGCTCGATCCTATGACCCTGAGATCATGACCTGAGCCAAAACCAAGATTTGGATGCTTAACCGACTGAGCCACCCAGGTGCCCCTGATGTAGGGTTTTTAAGCTAGATTTCTAAAGGGCTATTTAGGACCACGCATCAGGGTCCGGAGCCCCATGCCATTGCTCTCTCTGCCCCTTAGCCATGCTGCGGATGGTCTCTGCCGTTCTCCAGTTTGGCAACATCGTCCTGAAGAGAGAACGGAATAAGGATCAAGCCTCCATGCCTGACAACACAGGTATTCCATCTGGCCCACAGCCCACCTGCCTGACCCTGTGTTCCCCGTTCCCCTGGCAGAGCATCCCTCTCAGCACTCCCTGCTCCCCAGCTGGGCATGTCTCCAAGCTGTGCTAATCCTTTACCAAAGTGTCACTTCCCACTCTTTTCCTGATTCTAAAAGGTGTCATCTCTGCCACTGGTTTGAACAATACCAGCATGCCAGAGATCCCTGGTTATCTTGGCCCCTCTGAGAAAATCACCATTAGCATTGGGCTTATCTCCCTTGGCCTCTCTATTCTGCATATATATACTTTTTTTGTTTTTTTTTTTTTGAAAGCAGAATTATAGTTGCTATTCCTTTTATTCTCAAACTGGAAATAGCTCTGCTTTATTATCATAAAATAATGCAAACTGAGTGGGGGAAATATCTGGCAATACAAAGAAGTATAAAAGCAAGAAAATGACCCACAGTTATACTCCTGAGAGGTAATTACTGTAACATTTTAAGGGTAGTTCTCTCTGGGCTTTATTCTCTGCCCATATCAATGTGGAAATGTCACAGAAGTGGGATCATGCTTTCACACCCCTTCCCCCTCAAGACAGCAAGGGCTTTTGTCCTGATTATAAAACTCTTTGGGCTCATTTTCAAAAGCTATATAACCACAGAAAATATGAGAAAAGGGGCCCCTCTCACCATGCTGTTGATCAGAGTATCATCTGTGGCGCTTGGGGAGTTCTGTTCACACTCCCAGCAGGTGTGCTGTGCACACTCATTTATTCATCTAATCTATGAAGTTGGCATCAGACCTTGTAGACTGTTTTAAAATTTGCTTTTTTCCCTTAGTGCACTGAGGGTAACTTTTCAAAGTTATTAACTCCAGCGCTACTGGGGTTTCTTCCTCTAGTCTCTGTGGGTAGAACCCTATGTCAGCAGAATTAATCTCCTGGGAAGTCCTGTATGTTTCATTCTTTGCATTTGCAAACAGTAATTGGAGACGCAGTCCATGGGCTTCACCAGCTGCCAGAGGACACAAATCCTCTGGCTTTCGAATCCTACAGAAAACCATCCTGTGACTGGCAGCATAGTGCCCCACTGTACATTCCTGCTATTTTTCAAGGCCACTTGTAGTTCTCAAATACTTTCCATATAATGCAGAATCACCATAGAAGAATTGGAAACTGCAATTGCACCCAAAGGAAAAAAAAAAGAGGAGAAATGTAAATGCTCATCACCTCACCTCTCAGAAATAATCTCTGTTTATTTATTTTGGTGTTTCTTCTTCTAAATGTTTTCTCTTCCTTTCAATTTTCTGCTGGAGCTGAGCATTTATAGTTTCCGTCTTCCCATTACGAGAGTGACAAGCAGGAAAACATTTCATAATCACCATTTTTTAAAATGCCTTTTTCCCCCTACCAAAAAATAAGGAAGAACAAGTCGTTTTAACATATTTGTTTGGGGTTTGGTCTCTTACTCTAATAGCTTTTCCCCCAATATTTTATTAGGAAATTCGTAAACACACAGAAAAGTTGAAAGAATTTTATTGTAAACATCCAGCAGCCATCACCTAGATTCTGCCCCTGACATTTTACTATCTTTGCTTTTTTTTTTTTATCTTTGCTTTATTGCATATCTTTCCATGCACTCTTTGTCCACCCTCTTGTCTCGTGCATTTCAAAGTTGCACATTTCCATGCATTTCAAAGCGTATACACGAGTCGTTCACATGTACATGCTTTGGCTTGTGTATGCATGTGAAACATACCAGTCATGAAATGCATACATCCTAAATGTACCATTTAATGAGTTCACATGTACATGCTTTGGCTTGTGTATGCAAGTGAAACATACCAGTCATGAAATGCATACATCCTAAATGTACCATTTAATGAGTGTTAATAACTTTCAGTGACTGTGGAACACTTATTCAAATGGAGGATCCCTGACTCTATAACCAATCCCTAGTTGCTGGGCATTCAGGTTGTTTCATTTTCCTCCATCATACACAAGGCTGTGATGAACATCGTCCTGGTCCAGTGTATGATCACCTCTGGGATTATTTATCCCATCTTGGAATCCCAGAGAGAGAAGTGTGGAGCCAGAGGATGTACACACTTATAGGACCTGTAATGCATCTGGTGGGAGAGGTGGGGCCCCTCGTCTGTTCCACCAGCAGTGGGGGCGCCCCCCTCCCCTGTGCTCAGTGCCCCCTGCTGCTTCCCAGAGCTGATCAGACTCTTAACCCTCAGCTGCACAGAAGCTCTGCCGCCTCCTGGGAGTAGGGGTGACGGACTTCTCCCGAGCCCTGCTCACCCCCCGCATCAAAGTTGGCCGAGACTACGTGCAGAAAGCACAGACCAAGGAACAGGTAGGTGGGACGGGGGCAGGCAGGGTGCAGGGAGAGCCAGGCGCCAGGATCTGAGCCTGTAAGCAGTGTATGATGGTTTTTCTCTCACTCAACAAACCGTTGCTGATTGTTCGCTCCATTACCAGGTCTGGTTCTGATGCTAGGAATAAAAGTCATAATGGAAACAGAGACCATATCTTCATGGAGCTCAGGCCAAAACAGGAAACAGATCATAAAGGAAGATACATAAACAGTGAGGCCTTCTAGGAAGAAGAGGGTTCGTGTGGTCAGGAAAGTCCTCTATGAGGAGGTGATATTTGAGTTAGACATAGATAGTTCAAAGCAGAGGGAAGAGTATGAGTGAGGGCCCTGGGGCCAGAACAGGTTTGGCAAATGGAGACTATCAAAGAGGCAGTGAGGCTAGAGAGTAGAGGGGAGGATGCAGAAGGATGCAGAGAAGTCAGAAGGGACAGATCACGCAGGGCCTTAGGGGCTACAGTAAGGAGGTGAGTTTTATTCAGAGTGCAGCAGGAGACCAGTGAGGGTTTAAGCCAGGGAGCAACTTGATTCAGTTTGCCTTTTATAAAGATTCCCTTGTCTATTGCATGGAGAACTGGATCCAGGGGGTGCAGGGCTGGGCGGGGTGGTGGGTAGGGAGACATAAGGAGGCTGCTGTCGTAGTCAGGCATGTGATGATGATGGTGGGAGTGGGGAGAAGTGAACCCATGCTAGAGGTTTTCTGAAGCCAGCTTTCGGGCAGAGGCCTCTGTCTGGCCCCAGGCTGGGCAATCCAACAAAGTACTAGGATAAAGAAGACACAGTGGGGGGACATGAGAGCCAGGTTCCACTCACAGTGGAGGTACTGTTGTTAGGATCCCTTTTACAAATGAAGGAACATGTTTATTCACATGCCTGAGGCCACAGAGCTTCTAAGGGGCAGAGCCAGGATTCAAATCCATGTTGTCAGGCTCCACAGTTCACTTTCTTAACTGTTAGGCTGTTGAAATTGGTCCAAGGGATGGGGGATGATTAACGAACTAATGTGCCCCCAAGCGATTCACACGCTGCCTGGCACATGGTAGGGCTCTGTACTGGTTGGCATCATCATTAATATCATCATTCTTGATGAACTGTGATGCCTCCCCCCACACACACACACACCGGTGTCTCCTTGCAGGGGTGGGGGTGGGGGTAGGTCAGGCTGGGGATGTGGGGGCAGGGCCGGGCCCTCACCACGTGTCCTCACCATGTGCCCCGTGCCACAGGCTGACTTTGCGCTGGAGGCCCTGGCCAAGGCCACCTATGAGCGCCTCTTCCGCTGGCTGGTCCTGCGCCTCAACCGGGCCCTGGACCGCAGTCCCCGCCAGGGCGCCTCTTTCCTGGGGATCCTGGACATCGCTGGCTTTGAGATCTTCCAGGTCTGTACTTGGTGCCAGGCTGGGGCTGGGAGGGCCCTGTCTCCTTCCCTCTGGTCTCTATCCCCCACCCCACTCCATCTCTGTCCCCTCTCTCACCTGTTCCCTCATCCCCTGCAGCTCAACTCTTTCGAGCAGCTCTGCATCAACTACACCAACGAGAAGCTGCAGCAGCTCTTCAACCACACCATGTTCATCCTGGAGCAGGAGGAGTACCAGCGCGAGGGAATCCCCTGGACCTTCCTCGACTTCGGCCTCGACCTGCAGCCCTGCATTGATCTCATTGAGCGGCCGGTGAGCCTGAGGGTCCCTCCCGCCTCCACCGGCCTTGAGACCTCCGTCAGGCTCCTGCCTAGCTGGGCCTCTGGCCTCCACATCAGTTCATGACAGCGTCTGCTTCACAGATGCGTGGCTGCTACATGGTTAGGCCCGAGGAATGTGCCTGCCACAGGGGTTGGCTTGAACCAAAGCTCTAATCAACAGCCATAAATGTGACTACTGTTCTCATGTTTGGTTGTTATGTCCGTGTGTCTCTTACAAGAGCTACAAGTGAGCAGCAACCTAAGTGTCCAGTATGTGGGGATCTGATGTGCTCTTCCCCTCCTGTTGATGGTTAGGCTAACCCCCCTGGGCTCCTGGCCCTGCTGGACGAGGAGTGCTGGTTCCCAAAGGCCACAGACAAGTCCTTTGTAGAGAAGGTGGCCCAGGAGCAAGGAAGCCATCCCAAGTTTCAGCGGCCAAGGAACCTGCGGGACCAGGCTGACTTCAGCGTCCTGCACTATGCGGGCAAGGTAGGGGGCTGGCTGGCCATGGGACATGAAGGCAGGGGTGGAGACCCTTTGGCTACAGTTGAGGGGAGAGTGGAGAGGGGACACAGGGGCCACCTGATGTCCACTGGGACGAGACACTGGCAGGGGCCGGGAAAGCCCAAGGAGGAGTGAGGACTCTGTCTGATGAAGTCAGCAGAAGCTTCCTTACAGAAGGGATATTTACAGTAGGCTTGGAGGGGTGGATAGGAGTTCACTGGGAGAAGAATTATGTGCATTACATTCACTCATTCAGCAAAGATGTGCCTTTTGTGTGCTCAGCACAGGGCTGAGCACAGCTGGGGCCTTGTGCTGAACGTGGTTTTCGTCCTCACAAAGTTCTTGATCTGAGAGAGGGACAAACACAGGCCATTGGGATATAAGGCTGGAAGGGCAGCTAAGGGCAGCATCAAAGCCCGGAGGAGCAAGGCCAGGGGAGATTTCACAGAGGAGAGTAATGCTTGACCTGGAACTTACATCAAGGGTTGCACACATTTTCTGTAAACAGTTTCAGCTTTATGGGCCAGTGTCTGCCACAGCTTCTCACTTCTGCCACTGTAGCATGAGAGACACCCCAGGGAATACATAAATGGATACATTAGGGTGCCTGGGTGGCTCAGTCAGCTAAGTGTCTGCCTTCGGCACAGGTCTCAGGGTCCTGGGATTGAGTCCCATGTTGGGCTCCCTGCTCAGAGGAGAGTCTACTTCTACTTCTCCCTCTGCCCCTCCCCCCATGAGTGCTCTCTCTCATAAATAAATAAAATCTTTTTTAAAAAGTGGATATGGGGATCCCTGGGTGGCGCAGCGGTTTAGCGCCTGCCTTTGGCCCAGGGCGCGATCCTGGAGACCCGGGATCGAATCCCACGTCGGGCTCCCGGTGCATGGAGCCTGCTTCTCCCTCTGCCTATGTCTCTGCCTCTCTCTCTCTCTCTCTGACTATCATAAATAAATAAAAAAAATTAAAATAAATAAATAAAAAGTGGATATGTAAATGAAGGCTGTATTCCAACAAAACTTTATTTACAAAATAGTGGCAGGCAGGATTTGGCTCGTGGGCCATCGTTTGCTGATGCCTGGCCTAAGTGATGAGTAACATCCAGTGAAGGATGGGTGAAGGATGCGAAGGGCTGTCCTGGCAGAAGGAACAGCATACAGAGGCTGGGAGGCAGGAAACCCGAGTGCTCTGTGTCTAGCACTCCCTTCCTCTTCCACACATCATCTAACACTCACCGTGGGCCCAGCCCGGTGCTATGAGTCAGACTCGAGCCCTGGCCTCAGGGAGCCATTGTCCGGTGAGGGGGGCACGTGTGTGGGGGATTGTGCCCATCAAGACTGTGACTCTGGGAGACTCAGAGCAAAGCCCTGAATACTCAGAAGGAGCCAGCCATGTGAGGTAAAACTGTGAGGTAGAAATGAGCTTGCATATTTGAGGAACAGTGAGGAGGCCAGTGTGGCTGGAATAGAATGGATAAGGAAGAAGTGGTGGACGAGGTCCTGGACGTGGGCAGTGGACAGAGAAGGAAACTAAAGGGAGAGGGGCCAGGTGCCTGGGTGTCTTAGTTGGTGGAGCATCTGCCTTCATCTCAGGGTCCTGGGATCGAGCCCCATTTTGGGCTCTCTGCTCAGTGGGGAGTCTGCTTGTCTCTCCCCCTCTGTGCTCTTTGTCTCTCTCTTACTCACTCTTGCTCTCAAATAAATAAAATCTTTAAAAAAATATATATTTATTTATTTATTCATGAGAGACACAGGAAGAGAGACAGAGACATGGGCAGAGAGAGAAGCAGGCTCCCTGTGGGGAGCCTGATGCTGGACTCAATCCCAGGACCACGAGATCATGACCTGAGCCAAAGGCAAATGGTCAACTGCTGGGCCACCCAGGCATCCCTCAAATATATAAAATCTTAAAAGGAAAAAAAGGGGGGAGGGGAGGGGACCATGTTGGTGGAGGTGCAGTTCTGGGTATAGACGCAAGGTGGCACCGATGCTCATCTGTGGTGAGCCCTGGAGCTGGCTGGCTGGGAGCTTCTGGGAGGTTCCTTGGGAAATTGGGAGACCTGGTGAAGCTGCAAGCTCACCACCTTCCTCTGCCCAACTTCACCCAGGTCGACTACAAGGCCAATGAGTGGCTGATGAAAAACATGGACCCTCTGAATGACAACGTCGCAGCCCTGCTTCACATGAGCACAGACAAGCTGACGGCAGAGATCTGGAAAGATGGTGAGGTCCAGCTTCCCCCTGTCCCTGGAGCTCTGTGCATCCCCTTTCCCAGCCCACAGTGTGAACACCTTTGTTCTAGAGGCTAAGTTCTGAATATAAGTTGTCTGCGCAGATGCAGAACTGATGTAGGCAGGCCAGATGGTCTCCTGATAGTGCTTCTAATCAGTGATTGGTTGGTTACTATCTTAAGCCAGCATCATACTCATGATAAAACATACTTCTTAATCAGAAACGAGAGGGTTCCCATGATCACCACTGCTGGGAAACAGGGTTTTGGCAATACTAGCCTCTGCAATCAGACTGGAAAAAGAAATAACTATATGAATATTATAAAGAAAGAGAAAAAGTTATTCATTATAGATGTCAATATGGTCCCTTAGAAAGAAGAAATCAAGAGATTTGAATGAAAAAGAATTAATCACAAGAGAACTCAGCAGTCTGGTGTTTTTACAGATTAGTCAGTGTTGCAGCTTTGCTTTCTTTGTTCTCATAAAGTTCTCATCAGGGAGCCAGGGAAGAAGAAAAGAACAACAGACGGAGATGTAATCTGGGAGAGCTTTCCTGCCCCATGGCCATCAGTTTTTTTGGAATGGTATTTCTGGGAGGCATAGGCAGAAAAGCCAAATGTCTCTGGAGTGAGACCTTGTAGCTTTCCAAGCCTTGTCTGTTAATCCCCATCCTTAGAGGAGAAACTGTTTTAACAACCAGAAGAACTAGCATCTTGGTTTGTCCTGATTCAAGACTTCCAGACTCTGTCAGTTTGCCTTAGCCTTTTATTGAAGTGAAAAGTGTAGTTGTAAGTGTGGCCCATGCAATTAGACAGGAGAACAAAATAAACAAGATGCGTGGTTCCCAAATGAACTCACAGAAGGGTGTGAAGTGCCTTGATACTAGTGAGCTGATTTTAGACAGATTTGAGTTTGTGTCTTACATGATTTACACCTGAGGGATTGACAAGCAGTGTTTGACGTTCAGTAACAGAACTAGATTCTGCTATGAGAATCCTCTCCTCAGCCCAAAAATCCCCCCCACCCCCAGCAACACACACATAGTTCTTCAAAATCTGTCCCCTTCATGGACACATCATGCCCCCTACCCTTACTGGGATCCTTCACATGCCCCATCTCATATGTGCCTGGCTGCCTAGGGGTTGCAAGAGACAAGTGGAAGCTGGGAGGCCTCTCAAGTCCTGGACTCGAACCTGGCACAGTGTTATATCCTGCACGATTCTCCTGAACAAAGCAAGTTACAGCAGCCCAGATTCAAGGAGCTGCAAGTCCTTGAGGGTAGGACAGGAACGGGGGTGTCTTTTACGTATTAATCTCTATGAGAATCCCGAGCCCAGAGTTGGGTGCCCAGCATCTAGGTAATCCAAGGGGAAAGGCAGATGAGACAAGCTTCTTCTCAAGAGGCAAATGCAACAAACTAGGTAGGAGTATCGTGTTAATCCTGGAGCTTCCTGGCAGCCAGGGCAAAAAGGGATACCTAGTAAAACAGATTCAATCTCTAGGGAGAGAGATCTCCACCACCCCGGCATTAAATTTTCACAAAGGACACTTATGCTTTCCATCAACTTTTACGCCTTTTGTAGGTAGACACAAAGGTGAACGGGATAGTCTCCCTGGCTTTAGAAGTTCATGGCCAACAATGAAGTTTTCCCTCCTGCTCTGCCTTGTGCTATTGACTAATAACACTCTCCTCTTTTTTTTTTCTGCCACCATCTCTCCCTTCATGCTTCCCCCCTTCTCCTGCTGCTCCCTTTGCATCTCCCGCCCCCATCTCTGCCTCTCCCCTCATCTGTCCTCACCCCCCAGAACACGGGGGCTTCCAGCAGTTCTCTTTCCTTGGCTCCCTCCCACCATCACCCCCAGGATCTTCAGGGAGGCACGGCTCTGCCATTTCTCCAACAGGGGGTGGGTGTTGCTGTGCACCGACGGGTGAGATTTGCTGGATGAGGAGGGTGGGCCTGTTGGACCAGATACCGAACACCTGTCCCCTCTCCTCCATATGGAGGACTGTTGCCCCGCTTCTCCTTCCCTGTTGCCTCCTTCAGCAGTTTCCAGACTCTTGGTAGCAGCACACGCCTTCTAACTAAACTGCATGTGAAAGGACAAGCAACTGTGGCAATACCAGCTGGCGTTTACTGAGCACTTACTATGTGCCGCACACTGTGCAAAAGCCCATTTATGATTACTAATATTTGGAATCCTTTGAACAACCCAGTGAGTCAGGTGTTAGTGCTACTACCCCCATTATACAGACAAGGAGATTGAAGCACAGAGAGGTTACAGGGCCTGCCTGAGGTCACACAGCTAGTTAGGGACAGAGCTGGGATTTGAACCCAGGACACCAGGTCCCAGAGCCTCTGCTCTTATCTGTGCTGTAAGAACTTAATTATCGTTTTGATAATAGCTGGGAGCATGGTGGTAAGAGGGAGCATTGAATGTGGGAAGGAAGAGGCCAAGTGCGAGTCCTTACTGCATACCAGGCCCTGCCCTAAGTGAGGATTATCTGTTGGCTCCAATGACCCTTGCTATCCCAGGACATAAGAGTCAGCCCCTGCTGCACGTTCCTGAGAAAGCTGGCAGGTTTAAAACAGAATTGAGGTGAAGGAGTGGGTATTTCTCACTTGCTGGAATGACATCATCAAATGACAATATCAGACCTTGCTGGAAAAATGGTTCTTAGTGGATGCAGTCTCTGTCTTTTAAATACTGCACATAGGGGCTCAGTGGTTGAGCATCTGCCTTTGACTCAGGGCGTGCTCCTGGGGTCTTGGGATCAAGTCCCGCATCGGGCTCCCCACAGGGAACCTGCTTCTCCCTCTGCCTATGTCTCTGTCTCTCTCTCTTTGTGTGTGTCTCTTGTGAACAAATAAAATATTTAAAAAATAGTAAAGCAATACTGCACACAAAAGCCAGGCTTTATTACATTTTTACTGGGACACTGTTTTAAGTTCCTAAAAATGCAACCGTGTTGTGTTCATTATCCCTGCTGCCCAATCTGTGCCTGTAAAGTGGGAATGATTCTTCTAGGCTTGTAAGTGAGCAGATGTATGTAAAGTGCTTTGAACGGTGCCCGGCAGAGAGGAAGTCCTAGGTAAGCATATGCTGTCGTCATCAGCATTTGTCCATAAGGAACGTGGAGATCATGTCCTTGAGAAGACAAGCAGTCACAGGCCAGGCAGGGTTCCAGAGGACTCACACTCCCCGGGTTCAAATCTTAGATGTGTAGTTTCTAAGCCGTGTGGCCACAGGCACAGTCTTTCACCTTTCTGAGCCTCCTTTCTAAGTTTACACATCAGTCCAATGGGGCTGACGACACCTACCTTAATCGGTGTTTCATATTCAAAGTGCCAGGTCCTATAAATGATAAGACCCTTGAACTTTGACCAACCTAGTCTACTTACATCTGACCCCTGACCCTCTTCTTTCTCTACCTCTGTTTCCTCTGGCTGTAGTGGAGGGGATCGTGGGGCTGGAGCAGGTGAGCAGCCTTGGAGATGGCCCTCCGGGTGGCCGCCCCCGCCGGGGCATGTTCCGAACAGTAGGACAGCTCTACAAGGAGTCACTGAGCCGCCTCATGGCCACACTCAGCAACACCAACCCCAGCTTCGTTCGCTGTATCGTCCCCAACCATGAGAAGAGGGTAAGTGTCCAGCCTGGGGAGGGAGGCATCTCTGGCAGTGGGGAAAACCCTGGCCACTAAACTTGGCTGGAGACAGGCTCGCCTCTGACTGGCTGGTTGATCTTGAGCAAGTTGCTTTCCCACCCAGGCTCAGTGCTCTGTTAGGAAAATTCATTCATTCACGGGACTTAAATTTTATTGAGCACCTACTAAGGGCCAGGTATTGGGGATACTTTGGAGAGAAAAGCACAGCCAACTCCTAGTCTCATAGTCAAATGGGGAACACAGACATTCAACTGACCACCTACAATGAATGTCCAGTTGATTTTGTTGGGGTGGTAAGTATTACCTAAGGTTTAGTTTGGTCTGTGAAGTCAGGGAAGCCTCCCTGGAGGAGGTGGTGATTGAGCTCTGAAGGATAATGGTATGAAAGGTACAGAGGATGGAATGAAGGCTGTTGGGGCTAGAGGTGTCAAGTAGGGATGGAGAGACCTTGCCTGGCTTTCCAGGCCACCAGAAGGTTTCCTTTTCAGGAAAATCAGAGTGGGCCCTGTAGAGAAGGGTCAACAAGGGTGGAAAATGAGAATGCAAAATAAGGTGCCTGAGGTGTATCCTGTCCCCAGGAAACAGGAACTGTGGTTACTGGGGGGGGGGGTGGATCTGTATGAGTGAAAGAGATGTCTGCAAATACCATATTTTATCAAATTTAAGACACATTTATTTCTCCCACTTTAGTATCTCTGAAGTTGGGAGCATGGCTTACAATCAATGGCCTGTCAGAGGTTAATTGATAGGAACTTTTCTTTCTTTTTTTTTTTTTTTTTAAGATTTTATTTATTTGGGATCCCTGGGTGGCGCAGCAGTTTGGTGCCTGCCTTTGGCCCAGGGCGCGATCCTGGAGACCCGGGATCGAATCCCGCGTCGGGCTCCCGGTGCATGGAGCCTGCTTCTCCCTCTGCCTGTGTCTCTGCCTCTCTCTCTCTCTCTCTCTCTGTGTGTGACTATCGTAAATAAAAAAAAAAAAAAAAGATTTTATTTATTTATTCATGAGAGACTGAGAGAGAGAGAGAGAGAGAGAGAGAGGCAGAGGGATAAGCAGGCTCCATGCAGTGAGCCCGATGTGGGACTCGATCCTGGGGCCCCAGGATCACGCTCTGGACTGAAGGTGGCACTAAACCACTGAGCCACCCGGGCTGCCTGGAACTTTTCTTTCTTATGGTATATAAAGTAACAGCATGTTTTGCAACTGATGGGGGCTTATATTTGATGAAATAACAAGATTCACTCATTTTTCCAAGGAGCCCTGGTTCTTTTTAGTGAATGGTGCTTAGAGTCTAAAATCTGACAAGTGTATATACATGCATGCACACGTGCATACACATGTCTTCAAGTATGTATACACACACGTTTTTTTCTTAAGTCATCTCTATGCTCAACGTGGGGCTGGAACTCACGATCCCAAGATCAAGAGTCACGTGCTCCTCCGACTGAGCCAGCCAGGTACCCCTGTATACACACGTTTAGATCTCTATTTATTTCTCTAAGTATCCTTGCATATTGAAAACTATGAGTTCACACCAATGCGCCAAATTCTGTCTCAGCGTCACAGAGTTCATCGTAACTTTCTCCTCCTGCAAATTCGTAACTCTTTTTGCATGTGTGTGACAGTGAGAAACCTGGATCCTACAAAATACTACACATTTGGGACACCTGGGTGGCTCAGCAGCTGAGCGCCTGCCTTTGGCTCAGGGAGTGATCCCAGGGTCCTGGGATCAAGTCCCATATCGCTCCCTGAGAGGAGCCTACTTCTCCCTCTGCCTCCTCTCTCTCTGTGTATCTCTCATGAATAAATAAATAAAATATTTTTTAAAAAGTGAAAATAACTTAAAATAAATACTACACATTTTTGTGTTTTCTCAGTCCCCTTTAATGTAATCCATCTCCTGGCCCTCCTGGGCGTCTCCCCCACTCAAGCTTGTCCAGTATTTTATCAACAAATGGATTGACAGGAGGAAGAAAGAAAACAAAACATTAACGTGAGACCATCTTATATATTATTTCCAACTTACAGCTCTCCAGCTATTTCTTTGGGGCTGTTTTGATTATGTGACAGTCAACTGAGATGGCTTAAGCAAAAAATGAGAATTAGCATAAACTCACATAATTGAAATTCCACGGGTTGGGTTCAGTTACCGCTGGATCCAGGTGCTCAAATGGTGTGTCAGGGATCTTTTTCCTTTGCTTGGCTCTTCATTGTCTTCACTCTGAAGGAATCTCATTCTCTCTTTCTTTCTCTTACTCCCCTCGGGATGGCAAGGCAGCCCCCAGTAACTCCAAACTTTGGAACCTACTTTAAAAAAAGAAAAGAAAGGGCAGCCGGAGCGGCTCAGCGGTTTAGCGCCGCCTTTAGCCCAGGGCCTGATCCTGGAGACCCGGGATTGAGTCCCGTGTTCGGCTCCCCGCATGGAGCCTGCTTCTCCCTCTGCCTGTATCTCTGCCTCTCTCTCTTTCTCTCTCTGTGTCTCTCATGAATAAATAAATAAAATCATAAAAAAAAGAAAAGAAAAACTGGAGATTGTATTGCCCACTCTGGGGGCCTGGACAAGGCAAGAGTTGTTTTTTAGAATGTCCAGTTTGGACAGGCTCGGTGGCGCAGCGGTTTAGTGCCGCCTGCAGCCTGGGGTTTGATCCTGGGGACCCTGGATCCAGTCCCACATCGGGCTCCCTGCATGGAGCCTGCTTCTCCCTCTGCCTGTGCCTCTGCCTCTCTCTCTGTGTGTCTCTATGAGTAAATAAATAAAATCTTAAAAAAAATAGAATGTCCAGTTTGAATTTTTGTACTATGTAGATTTTTTAGAAGCAATTAGAGAGAGAAAAGAAAGAACGAAAGAAAGAAAAAAGAAAGAGAAAGAAAAAGGCAACAAAAGTTAGCTACTCCGAAATAATGATGTATGGGTTTTATTTATGCATCAGCTCCCCAGAGAGGCCTTTCCCCAGCTATCCTGTGTGCAAATTCAGCACTCCCAGACCTCCCTGCTCTTTTCTCCTTAGCAATTACTTGTTTGTCCCACGTTGACTAATGATTGATTTCTTGACCTCATTTATTGTCAGCCTCCTCCGCTGGACTCTGAGCTCCCCCTGGGCAGGCTTTTCGGTCTGGCACGCAGTAGGTGCTCAGTAAATTACAGGTTGTCCCTATGAAATCGCCAGTGATTGATCACCTGCCCGAAGCGCCCGTACTGGTCCCCCACCCCCCACCCCCCAGCCCCCGCGGCTGCCCTCTGGTGCATGGCGCCCCCGTGTGGCCGCCGCGGACCCCGCCTGTCCGTCCCCTCTCCGCAGGCTGGCAAGCTGGAGCCTCGGCTGGTGCTGGACCAGCTGCGCTGCAACGGCGTCCTGGAGGGCATCCGGATCTGTCGCCAGGGCTTCCCCAACCGCATCCTCTTCCAGGAGTTCCGGCAGCGGTGAGTGCGATGCTGGGGGCAGGGCAGGGCTCCACTTTGGAAGCCCCCCGTGACTGCATCCAGACAACCCCACTGCTACTTCTGAGGTCTGTGGAGTCAGTGGCGCGTTCCTTTAGTTCCTGTCTCAGCTTTCTCCTCTATGGGATGGGAGAGCAGTACCCTGCTCAGTGCACTCCCACAAGAAAGATTGCCTGATGTAGCCATTCTAGTGGGGCCATCTGCATTTCTCTACAAAGGCCATATAGAATGGGATAGAACAGAAGATACCAGAGTTGAAGGAGCAAGTAATAGGGGCCCCTGGGTGCCTCAGTCCATTAAGCCTACGACTCTAGGTTTCAATTCAGGTCGTGATCCCAGGGTCATGAGATCTAGCAGGTGTGGGTCTGCGTGCTAAATGTGGAGCCCTCGAGATTTTCTGTCTTCTTCTCCCTCTGCCCCCTCCACACACACAATGCATGCTTTCTTTCTCTCTCTAAAAAAAAAAAATTATTAACAAATCCAGTTCCTGGGGTGCCTGGGTGGCTCAGTCGGGTAAGCATCTTGCCTTTGGCTCAGGTCATAATCCCAGGGTCCTGGGATTGAGTCCCGCATCACATTGGGCTCCATGCTTAGCCAGGAGCCTGCTTCTCCCTCTCCCTCTGCTCCTCCCCACTGCTTGTATACACACACACTTTCTCTGTCTCTCAAATAAATAAAAAATCATAATAAAAAATAAGTAAATAAATAAATAATCCAGTTCCTCAGTTGGCCAGGCCACATCTCAAGGGCTCAGTAGCTACATGTGGCCAGTAGGTGCTCTGTTGGACAGGACATGTCTGTTAGTTTGCTCCTCAAAGTGTGTGGTCCCCGGAACCAGCTGCATGAGCATCACTCGGCAGCTCATAAGGCACATTTTCAGGCACTATGGCAGACTTACTGAATTAGAATCTGCGTTTTAACAATACCTCTGTTGATTGAGCAAGCCCAATACACACACACACACACACACACACACACACACACACATTTCTCAATCACCAGTCATAAAATATGCCATATTAACATAGGACATGTATTATATATCTGATACACAAGTATGTGTATATATATTGTATGTATAATATGCATTATGTTTTATGAAATGTCGGAATCCAGGGAAGGGTGCTCTGAGGACATACACGCATGTGTTTAGGAACCGTATCCTGTTTTATCCTTTGCGCTTACACATCTGGAAGATGCTGCCGCACAGTGCTTTGCTCAGGGCCTGACAAATAATAAGTCTTCAAACACATTAGCTGTCATTTGCAGTCATTCTCGCATTTCCACTCTGAGACACAACACACCTGTGTTCCACATCTCAAGGAGATGTGCTGGTGGGGCATCAGAACATTCATGATCAGCAGGTGCTAGTGTCCAGGGAGTGGCAGCTCCTGTGGTCAGTGCTGTCATTGGTGATATTAAGGCTCTTAGCCCAGCATATGGTGCTCCATAAATGATCGAATGTTCACTCTTCTTACTGTTCATATCATCATCATCATCATCGTCATTATTGCTATTTGTCACTCTGAGCCCAGTGCCGGGCTACGGCAGGAATTCAGTGATAGTGTGCCATAACTATCCACCCACTCCTCCCCACCCCCGGCAGATACGAGATCCTGACGCCCAATGCCATCCCCAAGGGCTTTATGGATGGGAAACAGGCCTGTGAGAAGATGGTGAGTTTGGGGCAGAGCCTGGGGGTGCCAAGGTCTTAGGCAGTGGAAGAGGAGGGCTGGGACCTCCCTCTCATTGCCTTTCCTCTTCATCACTCCTCTCCCACCCCTCACAGATCCAGGCCCTAGAACTGGACCCCAACCTCTACCGTGTGGGACAGAGCAAGATCTTCTTCCGGGCAGGGGTCCTGGCCCAGCTGGAAGAGGAACGGGACCTGAAGGTCACAGACATCATTGTGTCCTTCCAGGCAGCTGCCCGGGGGTACCTAGCTCGCAGGTGAGGCACTGTGCTGTCTCCTGGGTCCCCTTGGCCAAGGCTCGGGGGGGGGGCAGGGCAGGGTTGACCAGATGTCTCCAGGGTTCAAGGCCTCCAAGATAGTAGAAGGGCTGGGAAACAAAGGCATGGAGGCACCAGATGCCCAGGCTTCTTGCTTCTACAGTCCCCGAGGGCCCTCATAGACCAGGTTCAGTGTGAAGCAGAGCTAGGGACAGAGAAGAGGTAGACTTGGCCATAGGGTGACGGACCATCCTGCTTCACTCAGGACCAGAGATTCCCCGGGATGCATGATTTTCAGTGCTGAAACAAAGCAAGCCCTGGGCAATGGGGCATGGTGGTCACCCTAATGGCCAGTGCCTCAAGGGACTCCACTCTGGTGGGAGAGACTGCGCGGGCACAAAGTGTCACAGTCCTGGAGTGGGATGCGCTTGGATGGGTCATACAAGTGTAGTGTGGAGACCCCACAGCAGATCAGGACACCTCCAAGTCACACTTGATGACCAGAGAGACGAAGGATGGGGTAGGTGTTGCAGGCAGGAGCAAGAGCTGGTACAAAGAACCAGTGATATGAGAGCCTCACAGTGTTTCAGGAATGCGAGAAGTTTGCAGAAGAGTCTTCTTCCCCTTTGAAATGGTCCAGAGGAAGGATCCGAGAATAAAGAACTCAAACACCAGGCTGAGCAGTGGGGACCTTATTCAGGGATGCTGGGCAGCCATGGGAGAGCCATGAGCAGGGGAGGAGGAGTGGGTGAGCTCTAGTGTAGAAAGACCCCTTGGGAGGTATGTTGGGGATGGACTGGAGGCAAGAGATTAGAGGTTGGGAGGTTGGGGTGAGGGTCCAGGTGGGGGAAGGGGAGGCCTAAACTAGGGTTGTGTGGACAGAGGGGAAGAGGCAGAGCAGAGAGTCAGGGGCAGAGGACTGACACATTATATGCGACAAGATCTGCGAGTAATAGAAAGTGCTTGCACACAGTAGGCACTTAACAATGGTTGACTAATTGAAGGGAGCTTTGCTCTCTTGCTAAGGGGACAGGCTTAGAGGGGCCAAGCCTTCACTCTTCCACTTTTCCGTCTCCCACCCAGAGCCTTCCAGAAGCGGCAGCAGCAGCAGAGCGCCCTGAGGGTGATGCAGAGGAACTGTGCTGCTTACCTCAAGCTGAGACACTGGCAGTGGTGGCGGCTCTTCATCAAGGTGAGGGCACCTGGGGAAGTGGCCTGAGCAGCAAGGAGACAGAACCTTGGGGCCAGGTCTGCTTGGGCAACTGGCTTTCTTTGTTTGGGCCTCAAGTTTCTGCATCTGTAAAATGGGACCAATCAGCCCAACCTTTGTTAGCCAGGATTTTTTGGTGTAACAAGTGACAAAAGAAAAAAAAAATCAGACTCAAACCAACATGGTTAAAAGATTCAGGACAGCTTCAGGAATGGATAGACCCAGGGCTGAGTCGGGGGTCCCAAAGACCCCCTCAGATTCAATGATTCACTAGAAGGACTCACAGAACTTGGAGAGGCTGTTATACTCATGGTTAAGGTTTATTACAGTGAACAGATAGAGATTAAAGCCAGCAACAGAAAAAGGTGAGCAGAACAGAGCTCCAGAGAGACCAGGCAGAAGCTTCCAGTTGTCCTCCCAACATGGGAGTTGGGTGGACAAGGCTTAATTCTTCCAGAAACAATGTGTGACAACACATACAGGCTGTTGCTTACCAGGGAAGCTCTCCCGAGTCTGTGTCCAAGCTTGTTTTTGGGGGGTCAGTCTCATAGGTGTGGCTGACCCCCAAATGTGGTTGATCTCATTTAGTCTCCAGCACCTCCAGAGGTCAAAAGCCTGAGGTAACAAAGTCACTCTTACTAGAATATTCCAAGAGCTTGCAGATTATTTTCCAGGAGCCACCCAAGGGCCAGGCCTTTCTATGAAACATACAGGGTTTGGACAACCCAGGCCTACTTAATCAATCCTTTATTGCACAAGGACCCAAACAGTGATGTCAATTACCTGACATTCTGTGCCTCCCATTCGGCTTTCCTCCATGGTGATCACGTAGACTTTTCCACATGGGGCCCACCAACAGATTGAGTCTTGTCCCCCACTACCAGCTAGGCGGCCAGCATGGTCTCCTCCTATCCCAGAGCTCCAGCCAGAGCCCAGCCAGACTTGACCTTCACCAGCTGGGGTCATGTGACCACCCCAGACTCCTCACAACAAATCAGATGAGCCAAGCTGGTGTCACATGCCTACCCAGAGCCAAGGGGCAGGGCCAGGTCATCTGGCTCCCTGTGAGCATGGGGGCAGTGTGTTCCCCCAATGAGAAATTGGGAGAGGAGTAAGGAAAATTGAAATTTCGAAGCAAAAATACCACAGCTGTTCAGTGTAATTCTGAATATGTTGTGAGCAGTCACCTACATGCTCTCAGTTAGTGTTAACTGAGCACCTACTATGTGCCAATGACTTTTTCGAGGATCCTGATGAAATGGTGAAATAAAAACCCAAGTCGTTGGGCACCCCCAGTGGCACAGCGGTTTGGCACTGCCTGCAGCCCGGAATATGATCCTGGAGACCCAGGATCAAGTCCCACGTCGGGCTCCCTGTGTGGAGCCTGCTTCTCCCTCTGCCTCTCTCTCTCTCTGTGTCTGTGAATAAATAAATAAAATCTTAAAAAAAAAAAAAGTCGTACCCCATGGAGCCCACAGCCTAGAGCAGGCGTCGGCAAAGGGTGGCCTGGCCCAGCTGTCTGTCTTTGGAAATGCCCATCGGTTAACATATTGTCTGTGGCTGTTTTTGCATTCCAGCAACTCTGTGGAGTAGTTTAATTTTTTTTTAAAGATTTATTTATTCATTCAGAGAGAGCGAGAGAGAGGCAGAGACACAGGCAGAGGGAGAAGCAGGCTCCATGTAGGAATCCTGACGTGGGACTCGATCCCAGGTCCCTAGGATCACACCCCAGGCTGCAGGCAGCACTAAACCGCTGCGCCACTGGGGGTGCGCCACCGGGGCTGCCCTGTGGAGTAGTTTAAACAAAGACAGGGTGGCCTGCAAAGCCTCAGACATTTCCAAGCTGACCCAAGACTCCTAAAGTCTTGGGGGTGGGAGTTGACTGATATCAGTGAATGAGTCTCACAGATAAAATATAAAATTATAGGGGTGCCTGGGTGGCTTGGCTCAGGTCCTGGGTCCTGGGATTGAGCCCCACACAGGGCTCCCTGCTCAGCGGAGAGCCTGTTTCTCCATCTCCCTCTGCCTGCTGCTCCATCTGCTTATGTTCTAATAAGTAAATAAAATCTTTTAAAAAATATATATGTATATATATATATAATTATAGCTGTGATAAATGCATTGCGGTAGGGCAGAAGAGAATACAATACACTAGATAAAGAACTGAGTAGAATCAAGAAGAACCAAAGAGAAAGTAGGGGGATGGAAATGATCAAAGGAGACCCCATTCAGCAAGGGGGAGGGTGGTTCTGTGAGCCTGTCATTTCAGTTGATTATGTGTGTGTGGCACCTGTCGCCCCCACCGGAATCCGTGTAAAGTGCATCTATCACCCTGGATCTGCGAGTCGGGAACCTTGAGAGACATTGTGCTACAGAGTGTGACGCTGATGTCTCTTGTCCACCAGGGTTAGTTTAGCAAGGAAGGAACACGTTTAGTACCGCTGGCCTTGTGCCTGACTGTTCTAGGCTTTTCACTAGTGTCAGCTCATTCACCCATTGTGAAAAACCCTGGGCAGCAGGGGCTGCTCCCATCCCCTTTTGTTTTTTTGTTTTTAAACAGCATGTTTTTTTTTTTTTTTTTAAGATTTTATTTATTTATTCATGAGAGAGAGAGGGGTGGGGGAGGGAGAGAGAGAGGGGCTCGGAGACACAGGCAGAGAGAGAAGCAGGCTCCATGCAGGGAGCCTCACTTGGGACTCAGTCCCGGGTCTCCAGGATCAGGCCCTGGGCTGAAGGCGGCGCTCCCCTTTTGATAGATGAGGATGCTAATATGCTTGCCGGAGGCCACGCAGCTCATGGATGGCGGAGCTGCCCCTGGAACCCAGGAATGGGGCCTGCTCAGAGTGAGTGCTCACTCAGCTCCTTGGCCAAGGGAAGCCAGCCATTCTCACCTTTACCTCCCCCTAGGTGAAGCCGCTGCTGCAGGTGACGCGGCAGGATGAGGTGCTGCAGGCGCGGGCCCAGGAGCTACAGAAAGTTCAGGAGTTGCAGCAGCAGAGCGCCCGCGAGGTGGGCGAGCTCCAGGGCCGCCTGGCGCAGGTAAGGGGCGGGGCTGCGGTGGGGGGCGGCCCCAGGGTGTGGGGGCGGGGCTCCCGGCGGAGCCCTGAGTGCCGTGGAGGGAGGAGTTAGGGTGAGGGCAGAGCTCAGGTGTGCCGGGGCCCAGTGAGGGCGGGGCCATGGGTGGAGCCAGGGTGTGGGGGCGGGGCTGTGGATGAGGCGGGGCTCCCGGCAGAGCCTTGAGCGCCCCGGGAGTGTGGGGGAAAGGGTTAGGGTGGGGGCAGAGCTCAGGTGTGCTGGTGCCAGTGAGGGCTGAAACCCTGTGGTGCTGGGGGGCTGTGTGTGATGTGCAGAGGACAGGGCCCTGGGGTGCAGGCAGGGCATTGAGTGGGGGGCTGGTTCCTGCAGAGCCAAGATGCTCAGGGGGCTGGGCTCCGATAGGGGCCGGTCAGGGGCCGGCCTTGTGGCAGGGCTGGGGCTAGGTGGGTGGTGAACTTTTTATTGTCCAGTTTTTCTGGTGTCTTTTAAGTAATGCTGAAGCAAAACCCTCGAGCATTTTTTCTATTTGCTTTTACTGAGTTTTTTCCTTTGGTTAAATTTCTAGGCGTAGGAGTGTTAAATATGAGATAGTAGAAAGGCCTCACTGGGGCTATTCTGGAGGGTGAACTGGAGAGGCAGGGCCTGTAGGTGGGGAGGCTGGGGAGGAGGCTAGGGAGTCGGCTGGGGAGTCTACCCAGAGAGGATAAGGCCCAAGCTCAGTCAAGCTATAGGACCAGAGAGGAGGGGGCAGGGCAGAGGGTCCAGGGGCATGTCGACAGTGCTGGGGACTGATAGGCTGTGAGGAGGTAAAGGGAGGTGGGGGAGAGGCTGCACCCAGGGGTCTGACTTTGTGACTAGGGGGATTGAGGTCATGCTGAGATGGGGGCCTAGAGGAAGACCCTCCAGGCCTCAAAGGGCAAAGCAAATCAGTGCTCCACTGAGACTGCCCTGGGAGCACTGCCTGCTGAATGCTGACCTCCTGCCCTGTCCCCAGCTGGAAGAGGAGCGCACTCGCCTGGCAGAACAACTGCGAGCAGAGGCAGAGCTGTGTGCGGAGGCCGAAGAGACACGGGGGCGGCTGGCAGCCCGCAAACAGGAGCTGGAGCTGGTGGTATCAGAGCTGGAGGCCCGTGTGGGCGAGGAGGAGGAGTGCACCCGCCAGCTGCAAAGTGACAAGAAGAGGCTGCAGCAGCATATACAGGTCTGGCCCCTGTGTGCCCACAGGCCACCTCTCCCCATGCCCTTCCATCTACCCTGACAACCATTGCTTCTCCAAACCATGTCTCATTGGGCCACAAATTTGCAGAAAATTCAACTCAATTTTAGTATATGTGCTGCCGAAGCGAGCACATCAGAAAATTCAACTCAAAGTCACTTAGACAAAAAGAATACGTCTTTGGTTCAAATAATAGATTCCCTAATGTATAAGCTTCAGGCATGGCTGGATCCAGGTGCTGAGGTGATATCCTTTGTGCTCCTTCTCTCTCTGTCTCCTGGCTCCATTTGCCTCTAGGCTGCTGCATTCACAGGCAGGCCATCCTCATCTGTCTCCTCTTCAAAATCTGCTATGTGTTTTGCACTAATGGTACATCTTAATTCATATGCTCAATTTTCATTGGCAATACTTCATCTGCATTTATGTTTTATGACTTCTTCACTTGAAAAAGGTAGGTTTAGGTACCAAAGCGATTCCAAACATATTTAAAAATTATCCAGTGATTACATGAGTATCTGGCTTTAAATTTAAAATAAATAAAATTAAATAAAAATTAAATAAGTTTGAAAATTCAGTTCCTCGGGCATACAAACCACATTCCAAGAGCTCAGTAATGTTTTAATCACCTTCTCTTCGTTATGGGGTGGGGTGGGATGGGGGTGGTGATCCCAACCTATAGTTATGGAGATAGCCTAACACACCACGCCCAACTCAGGACAGATAAGATAGATAGTAGTTGATTAGTAAAATACAGGCAGAGGTAGGCAGACACCATTCCACACAGAGCCACACAGGGATTGCACTTAGAACTAAAATGAATAGGCCACAGATGTCGGAGGCAGGCTTTGTAGTAACAAGAGGATGGAGTGACCCCTGGTTCCTACAGGGAGATGGATCAGTTTGTTTAAATAATTCCAGGGCTGAAAGGCAACTGAAGTCTACCATGTGATGAGCATAAGCTGGTACTGTGCCTGTCCCTATGATATATAGTGTTATGTGGCCAGTGGACCTTATCCATGGGAGCAGAGTGGGTAGGAGGAGGATATGTGATTAGGCCATTACGGATCCTCCCAATACCAGATAGCAAGGCAGCACATAATACTGAATCTTTTTTTTTTTTTAATTGAGGTATTATTGGGACACTTGGGTGGCTCAGTTGGTTGGGTGTCTAACTCTTGATCTCAGCTAATGCCTGATCTCAGGGTCATGAGTTCAGGTCCTATGTTGGGCTTCATTCTCTGGAGCCTGCTTAAAAGAAAAAAAGAAGAAAAATTGAGGTATTGTTGACATGTAACATTAGTTCAGATATACAACATAATGAGTTGCTATTTGTATATATCACGAAGTGATTTCTATAGTAAGTCTAGTTAACATTATCACCTTATGTAGTAACAAAAATTTTTTTTCTGGTGATGAGAACTTTTAAGATCTACTCTCTCAGCAGCTCTCAGATATACAATATTTGAACTACAGTCACCCTGGACATTACATCCCCAGGACTTACGTACTTTATAACTAGAAGTTTGTACCGTTTGACCACTTCACCCACTTTGCTAATGTTTTCTTGCACCCACCCACCTACAACCACTCATCCGTTCTCTGTATCTATGAGCTCAGTTTTTTGTGTTTGTTTTGTTTTTGTTTTTTAGATTCTACATATAAGTGGGATCATACACTATTTGTCTTGCTCTGGCTTATCTCACCTAGCATAACGCCCTTGATGTGTCCAGGCTGTCGCATAATGTCAAACCTTAATTTCCAGTTTCACACCACATGTTGCCATGGTGGACAGTACCTGTCTAAATAAACAAACATTATATATTTATTTATTATGTTTATTGTTTACAATCTTCCTGCACACACAAGAACGTAATTTCCATAAAGACAAAGATGCCTAGGACATTGCCTGGCACATACTGGGCACTCAGGGAAGGCTTAGGGGTAATGAATGAAACAGGAAGACCAGAAAAGTATGATCCTTCCCAGCCTCACCCAGAGTATGGATCGGTCTGAGCCACAAGCCCTAGAGGTTTGGGACCGTCACCTCCCCTGTGTCCTTCCCATTGCACCCCAGCCCCCAGCCTCTGGGGCCTCATCCCTCCCACCCTCCCCTCTACAGGAGCTGGAGAGCCACCTTGAGGCTGAGGAAGGGGCACGGCAGAAACTGCAGCTGGAGAAGGTGACCACAGAGGCCAAGCTGAAGAAATTTGAGGAAGACCTGCTACTTTTAGAAGATCAGAATGCCAAGCTGAGCAAGGTCAGTGGCCTGTGGGCCATACATAGGGGCTGTGGGGGGATCTCTCTCTGTGTCTCCCCCAGCTCCTCCAGCTCGCACCATCTCTAGGGGCCTCGGGCTCTGAGTGTCAGCCATTGGCTCTCATGGGCAATCATCAGGGTGTGGTGGCTGGGTGTGGGTGTCTGCAGTCCTGATCCTCCTTTGTGTGGCTTCTGTCCTCACAGGAAAGCCTGAGTTTCTTACATGGCAGCTCAGGGCTTTAAGAATGAGAATGGAAGTAGAAGCATCCAGGCCCCTTAAGATGTTAAGCCTGAAACTGTTATGGCATCACTTATGCCCAATTCTGTAGATCAAGGGTTGGCAAACATCTTCTGTAAAAGGTCAGATAGCAGGTATTTCACTCTTTGCAGGCCTGTGTTTTGGTCACAAACGCTCAAGTCCACCGACGTAGTGTGAAAGCAGCCATAGACAGTGCATAATCGAACACATGTGACTGTGTCCCAATAAAGCTTTATTTATAAAAACAGGTGGTAGGCCAGATTTGGCCTGCACACTGTGGTTTGCAGACCACAGAGCTTAAAACAGTCATAGGCTCAGCCCAGATTCAGTGGTTGAGAAATTAGACTCCATCCCTGAGTGGGGACATGGCAAAGAATCTGCCTCTATCTTTAACCTGCCACAGCCAGGACTGGGCTAGGCACAAGGGATATGGTGTGGAACTAACTAGAAAACCATTTATGTCCTTGTGAGGGGCCAGGGACAAAGGATGCTAGGTGAGACACCACAGAAAATAAATATAACCACACAATATGACTTAATTATAAACTGTCAGCAAAAAAACAGAAGATGATAGAGAGGGGTCAGTCCCTTTCCTGTCCTAGGGGTAGTCAGGGAAGGCTTCCCCAAGGCAATGATGCCTGAGTTGGGAAGTCAAGGAAGCACAGGAGTTTTCTGGAATGTTCCTTGTGTGCAATGACTATTCCATTCTACACTGCTCTATATCTTTCTTTTTAAGCGTAGGTCCAACACAGTACGTTGGTTTCCAGAAGCACTTAGTTTGAAAAGTACGGCTCCAGGCCAGTGCTTCTCAAATGCTAATGTGCACAGGAGTCATATGGAGAGCTTGTTAAAATGCTGATTCAGGGGGTCTGGGGTGGAGCCTGAAATGCAGCATTTCTAAAAAGTGATCATTTGGTGTTTATGCCACTGATTTACAAAACTCCTACTTTGAGTGGTATGGATCCAGAACTCGCGTGAATGCAGCAGATGGGCAAGGATGTTCACTGCAATGTGTTTATAATCGCACATGAATTGAAATGAACCTCAGTGCTCATGAGTAGAATGGTGCCTTAGCGAACCGTGGGGTTCTTCGAGTAATGGGAGCCAACCCTGCAGTTACTAGGTGTGAACCTGTGCCGATGGGACGGGTCTGCAAACCCAAGAGGATAGGGAAGGGAAGGCTGGGGTCAGGAGCGTCTGCAAACCCAAGAGGATAGGGAAGGGAAGGCTGGGGTCAGGAGCGGGAAGCTCAGTGATGGGTGGAGGTGGAGGAAATGCACATGAGAACTCATCAAAGATGAGCTTTGTGGGGGAGCTGCTCTGACGGCCCCCACTTCCCACCACCCTCAGGAGCGGAAGCTGCTGGAGGAGCGTCTGGCCGAGTTCTCATCACAGGCGGCCGAAGAGGAGGAGAAGGTCAAGAGCCTCAATAAGCTTCGACTCAAATACGAGGCGACGATTGCGGACATGGAAGGTGAGCGCTGCCCACAGGGTGCAGCCTCTGGGGTCTGCGCATGCTGGTGGGGGGCGGGGGGGGGCGGGATGTTGGGTGTTGGGTGAACCTCCTGTGCTAACGAGCCTCAGTGGTCGTATCTGTTAAAGGGGGACAGGAAGAAGGCTCAAGACAGATTGAGAGCCCTCGTAGCTCTTTGGTTGTTTCTGTCGCTTGAAATGCAATTCTCTTGCCCTCTCCTCCGCATCTTGGGTGGCTCTCTCTCTGACTGCCCCATTACCTGTTTCAGACACCTTGTTGTCTCTGCCCCTTGCTGACTCAGAATCAGCAGCAGAAGGGAGAGAGAGCACAGGAGAAGGCTGTGGAGATAGGACAGGACAGGGCAGAGACAGTCCCTGAGCAGGAGCAGGGCTGCCACTAAGGGGTGAGGAGGAGAGGACGGCACCTGGGGGTCAGGCCCAGGGCTGGGGAAGCTGGAAAAGGGGCACAGAGGGAGATGCTGAGCCACAGCTTCACCCCCACCCCCACCCCAGCAAGTGCCGGGGGTGGGCCCTTGGGTGTCCGGGAGCTGCTGGGTGTGGGGTCTGGCGCCCTCCCGCATGGCCCCCACTCCCGCCTCCAGACCGCCTACGGAAGGAGGAGAAGGGCCGCCAGGAGCTGGAGAAGCTGAAGCGGCGGCTGGACGGGGAGAGCTCGGAGCTGCAGGAGCAGATGGCCGAGCAGCAGCAGCGTGGGGAGGAGCTGCGGGCCCAGCTGGGCCGCAAGGAGGAGGAGCTGCAGGCGGCCCTGGCCAGGTGCTGGGCAGAGGGGGTTGGGGAAGGGGGAGGTTGAAGAGGGCAAGGAGGCGCTGGGTGCCGGTGCCTGGGCCACAGTGCACCACCTGCCAGTGCCAGCGGGAGGGGCGCCCCAGGGAGACCACCAGCGCACACACGCCTCAGCCCCATGGAGCCTCAGTGTCCCCTCCTGTAAACTGGACCTGGTGAGAGTACCAAACCCGCCCCGGTTAAGGGAAGAGTGAAAGGAGGCCCAGTTCCGGAATTGGAATCAGGGATCAACTGTGATTTCATAAGTGCTCTGGCCATGAGTGGAATCGTATCATTATTACAGTCAGTAGCAATTATGGAGCACCTACTGTGTGCCAGATACGGCGCTCCATGTTGTGAATGCCTTTTACCTGCCGTGCTTCATGCCGTCCAGGAGCCCCTGATTATAGGTGGGGCTCAACTTCAGAGATGTTTAAATGTGAGAAAATGTGTGTCTTGTAGTCAGTGGTGCCAGCGGGGTGTGAGTGTGTGGTTAAGACCCCGCACGCCCATCAGATCTCTGGATTGGAGCCCAGGCCCCGCCCCTTTCCGGCTTGTGACCTCACTGAGTGCCCTCAGCCTGTGGGTGGGGGGGTGATTTTGAAGCTACTCCTAAGGTTCTTGTAGGGATAAAATAAAAAAGTGCGCTTTAAAGGTTTAGCATACCATAAGCCCTCAATAAATGCGGGTGTGTCTATTACTACTTTTCCTTGTTTTATTCACATGTTCTTTTTTTTTTTTTATGGAGGTGAACTTTACATAACAACCGTTTTATTTTTCTTTAAAGATTTTATTTGTAAGTAATCTCTGTGCCACACATGGGGCTTGAACTCACAACCCTGAGATCAAGAGTCACACTCTCTGCCAAATGAGCCAGCCAAGTGGCCCCCATAACATAACCAATTTAAAGTGTGCAATTCAGGGGCGCCTGGATGGCTCAGTCTGTGAAGCATCTACCTTTGGCTCAGGTCCATGATCTCAGGGTCCCAGGATTGAGCACTGTGTAGTCAGGCTCCCTGCTCAGCAGGGAGTCTGCTTCTCATGCTCCCTCTGTGCTCTCATGCTTTCACTCTCAAGTAAATAAATAAAATATTTAAAATAAATAAATAATACATACAATTCAGTGGCATTTGGTGCACTCCTGGTGTTGTGCAACTACCACCTCTGTGTAGTTCCAGAACATGTCCATCTCCCCCAGAAGGAAGAGTCCAGTACCCATGAAGCAGTCCCTTCCCTTCTTCCCCTGCCGCAGACCTTGGCAGACCCTTGCAGACCAACAGCCTGAGTTGTTTGACATGATTTGCCTCTTCTGGATATTTCACATAAGAGGAGGCATACAACATGTAGCCTTTTGTGCTTTTATTATCAGTTTTATTGTCATCCTCACAACAGCCCTGTGCAGTGGGGTAGTGTGTCCTCTTACAGGCCAGGAGCCTACAGTTCAAAGCAGTGGTCAAGTGACCAGGGCAGATGGCCGAGCAGGGGATCCAAACCCCAGTTTGCTTGGCTCTGTGAGCAACTTAACCTCAGCCACTGCTGCCACTTCAATTCAGCTTCTCTTTGCAAGAGGCTGTGTCTCTGAGGGGGCATGAGGCAGATCAGATGCTGGGGTCAGCACTTCGTATTGCTGACCGGATGACCTGGGCAAGTACTTTCCCACTCTGTACATCCGTTTTCTCATTTGGTGTGATCCCGAAACGAGATGATAAAGGAAAGGGTCCCACGTGGCAGGAGCTCAGTAACCCGCCCTGTGATTACTATTGGTGTCATCCCCATTTCACAGAGAAGGAAACTGAGGTTCTGAATACTGAGGCATGTTCCCAAGGGCAGAGGTGGGATTTTAACCTGGGATGGGCCCCCTCCCAATCCACCCTGGCCTCCCCACCCCCAGAAATCTTCCCTGCCCTCTGCCTGCCCCAGTACTGACTCCATGGTCCTTGTCTATCCCCAGGGTGGAGGAGGAGGGCGGTGCCCGGGCCCAGCTGCTCAAATCCCTGCGGGAAGCACAGGCAGGACTCGCGGAGGCCCAGGAAGACCTGGAGGCTGAGCGGACAGCCAGGGCCAAGGCAGAGAAGCAGCGCAGGGACCTGGGTGAGGAGCTGGAGGCGCTGCGGAGTGAGCTAGAGGACACGCTGGACTCCACCAATGCGCAGCAGGAGCTCAGGTGAGGCCAGGCTGCCCTGTGGCTGGCACATTCTGGGTGTGTACAGGGCAGGGTGCAGGGAGAGGAGGACTTTGGTGCTCACCAGTTGTTCATCAAGTATCAGCTCTGCACCTGGGCTAGGCTGGGGACAGAGATAAGTCAGAGCCAGACACTTCCCACAGGAACTCTTGGTCCAGGGGAGGCAGATTCGGGCAAAGAGGCCCGGTGGAGAACAAAGTATGCTCTAAGGGAGCAGCACAGGGCATTGTGAATGATAAGAGAAAGCCCTTAAACCACGTGTATGGAGGAGTCTGAGAAGACTTCCTTGAGAAAGAGCCTTTTGAACAGGGTTTTGAGAGATGAGTAGGAGTTCACCCTTAAAGCCGCATTGTTCCCTCACTTCCCACCCAGTTCCCTTAGAAATGTAGAGTGAGGTCCTCATTCTTGAAGGAGGCATACCCAAATGTCAGGAGGACCACCCCCAAAGTCCCTGCCTTTCTCTATTCTGAAATCATGCTCCCTCTACAAAAGGTCCAAGAGGGAACAGGAAGTGACAGAGTTGAAGAAGGCTCTGGAAGAGGAGACGCGTGTTCACGAAGTGGCGGTGCAGGAGCTGAGGCAGCGCCACGGGCAGGCACTGGGCGAGCTGGCGGAGCAACTGGAACAGGCCCGGAGGGTGGGTTGGGACAGGAATGGGGGGTTCTGGGGGGCGGAAGGCAGGATGCAGGAGGACGTGCCTCTGACTGGTTCTAGGCTAGCTCCTATTTCTGGAGTTCTTTCCTTGTGTATCCATGTCCTTGGTTCACCTTCCATTCTGCAAACATGGGGAAAATACTATGTCCCCAGGATGGTCTGGGGACCCAGCAGTGTGCAAAACAACCCATATCCCCTTCCGTTGTGGAGTTCACATGTTACCAGGCAAGCCAAAGGCTAAATAGCAACCCATTCCTCATGTATATTGGGGTAATAAATGCTCTGGGAGGGATGCCTGGGTGGCTCAGCGGTTGAGCGTCTGCCTTCGGCTCAGGGAGTGACCCTGGAGTCCCAGGATCCAGTCCCACATCAGGGTCCCTGCATGGATCCTGCTTCTCCCTCTGCCTATGTCTCTGCCTCTCTCTCTGTACGTCTCTCATGAATAAATAAAATCTTTAGAAAAAAAAAAGCTCTGGGAAAACAACAATAAACAAAGGGGCAGCAGAGTCAGGGTTGAGGGGTTGTGACTTCAAAAAGAGACATCACGAAGCACATTTGAGTAGAAGACTAAAGGAAGTAAGGAGTGAGCCATCTAGTGTCACAGGGAAATGTGTTCCAGGCAGAGAGAAAAGCCAGTCCAAAGGCCCTGAGGCAGAAATGTGTCTGAGTATTTTAAGGACCAGTGAGGAGTCCCAGGCAAAGAGAATAGCCAGTGCCAAGGCCCTGAGGCAGGAATATGCCTGCTCTGGTTGAGGGGGAAAGTATACTTCTTTACTGGTCTCTGTCACTTGCCAGAGCAAAGGTACATGGGAGAAGACCCGGTTGGCCCTGGAGACTGAAGTGTCTGAGCTACGGTCGGAGCTGAGCAGCCTGCAGGCCTCACGTCACGAGGGCGAGCAGCGGAGACGCCGCCTGGAGTCACAGCTGCAGGAAGTTCAGGGCCGGGCTGGCGACGGGGAGCGGGCACGAGCCGAGGCTGCTGAGAAGCTTCAGCGAGCCCAGGTGAGTGGGGCGGCCTGGGCAGGAACCCTCTCTGGGCTTCCGTTTGGTCCACAGCAGCCCTTCCAACTCTTCCAACATGATCACACATGAAGAGCTAGTATTCAGTGAGCAATTACTATACACCAAATATCCTATGTATTTCCCTAAATCTACCTGACTCTCCTTTTAAGGAAGTACTAATATTGTTCCCCTTTTACATATGAGAAAACTGAAGCCCAGCAAAGTGAAGCAGATTGTCTTAGACCCCTCAGAACCAAAACTCGAACCCAGGCTTACCTGACCCTGTAGCTCTTAACCCTACCATGACTCCCCACTCTCCTAGAAGCCTTAAATAATCTGGATTCTGATTAGAAAAGTCCAGTGTGAACACATGGAATACTGTAGGGATGATATCATACCATTACTGTTAAAAAAATGTGGACTTTTAAGTTTTAATTTTATGTTTCTTTAAATGGCCAACATTACTGAGAATACAAAGAAGCAGAACGGATGAAGGAAAAAACTACTTTAAAAAAATAATTTTAAAAAATATTTTAAGTGATCTCTACACCCAACATGGGGCTCAAACTCACAACCCTGAGATCAAGAGTCAAATGTTCTACCAACTGAGCTGGCCAGGTGCCCCAGGAAGAATGATTTTTAATTGTCCAGCTCCTCCAGGGGAAAACATCATTACAGTTTTTAGTTTCCAGATTAAAATAGCGTATTAGTGTAAAAGTTGCGATATAACCAAAGGCACCCCCATAATCCATCAGCTTTAATAAAGACCTGTGTCTCCCTGTTGAGAAAGAGACTCAGGGTAAGCAGTGGAAGCTGGTAGGATACTATGCTCCATGAGGTCACTCAAAATCCAGGTTCCTTGTTCTTGTCACGCCACCATCCCTGAGAGCATTGCCCTCATCTTCAGACTCAAATCTGGGTTATGGGTACATCTGTGCCCCTGCTTAGGAAGGGGGAAAGAGAGGAAGTGGTAAACTTGCTTATATCACTTTGTTTGTATTCCTTTGGTTGTCATCACATGATCAAATGACCACAACTAACTGCAAGGGAGGCTGGGAAATGTAGTTTCCAGCTGATAGCCATGGGCCTAGTGAATAGACTATCATAGTGGGACCAGAAAGAGTGGATTAAAGGGCAGCGGGGGTGGGGGTGGGGGGGCAGCCAGGATCTGCCCCAGATGAAATCATGCTACCTAGTGGTCACTAGTAAACATTTTACGTATGACACAAATGAAAGTGACACTAGAAGTAGAATTTGGTGGTTGGCAGTAGGAGTTCCAGCCAGCACTAGAAGTTTCTTCAGTGATGGAAATGTTCTATATTTGCGCAATCCAGCCACTGAACGTTGAAAATGTAGCAAACACAGCTGAGGTGGTGTATTTTTACTTTTATTTAATTTTAGTTTTTAAATGTAAGTAGCCACATATGGCTGGTGGCTACCGTATTGGACAGCACAGCCCTGGCTCAGTCCCTCTTCTGGTAGCTGTGTGATCTTGGGCAAATTTCCTAACTTTTCTGTGTCAGCTTCCTTTATGTAAACTGGGAATAGTAATAGTATCACCTCATAGGGTTGGTGTGTGAAACCAGTGGGCTTCCTTCCCCTGGAGAATAAGGTGAACCTGTGGTGGGCTGGTTAGACAGTCTTGTTCTATGATGTCAGAAAGACACCTAGCTTGAGGCGCCTGGATGGCTCAATCAGTAGAGAATGTGACTCTTAACCTTGGGGTCATGAGTTTGAGCCCCATGTTATGTGTGAAGATTACCTAAAAAGAAAGAAATAATACATAAATAAATAAATACAGGGATACCTGGTGACTCGGTGGTTAAATGTCTGCCTTCTGCCCAGGGCATGATCCTGGAGACCCCGGATTGAGTCCCGCATCATGCTCCCTGCATTGAGCCTGCTTCTCCCTCTGCCTTTGCCTATGTCTCTGCCTCTTTCTCTGTGTCTTTCATGAATAAATAAGTAAAATCTTTAAAAATAATAATAATAAAGTTCTTTAAAATAGATAGATAGATAGATAGATAGATAGATAGATAGATAGATAGATACAAAGAGAGAAAAGTACTTATACAATGGAGAACTCTGGCTGCTGAATGAAATACTCAAATTTAACATGGCTAATAATGAGATAAACTGGTCACATATGCCTCCTAATCTGATAGAGACTGGGGAGGGGAGGGAGAAGGATACCTGGTTATCTTCTTGTCTCATTTCCAAGATAAATTTTCTTACCAGCTGGAATTTGAACCCAACCTTGTTCCCTAAGTGAACCCCAGAAAGGGAGAACAGGTGGTCCAGGGCAAGACAACACCAGAGACTCTCATCCCACAAACATTTCCTGAGCACCTACTATGTGCCAGGCCCTTTCCTGGGCCTTGGGGACATAGCAGGGAACAAAACAGATGAGGAACTACCCTCCTGGAGATGACAGTCTGGGGGAAGGAGGTGGTGAGCTGTTACCCGATTCCCACTGGGAAGAAATGTGAGGCCAGGATCATTGTGAAAACTTTTGGTGGGGGAGGGAAATTGCTTTGTTGAAATAGAACTCATATGCTGGGGGCCCCTGGGTGGCTCAGTCAGTGAAGCATATGCCTTGGGCTCAGGTCATGATTTTGGGGTTCTAGGATTGAGTCCCACATTGAGCTCCCTGCTCCTTGAGGAGTCTGCTTTTCCCTCTGCCCCTCCCCCTCCCCTGCTCATGCATTCTTTATCTGTCTCTCTCAAATAAATAAATAAAATATATTTTTAAAGATTTTATTTATTTATGAGAGACACAGAGAGAGGCAGAGACATAGGCAGAGGGAGAAGCAGACTCCCCACAGGGAGCCTGATGTGGGACTCGATCCTGGGACCCCAGGATCATGCCTTGAACCAAAGGCAGACATTCAACCACTGAGCCACCTAGGCGTCCCAATAAAATATTTTTTTTAAAAAAAGAACTCCTATACGGATGCCTGTGTGGCTCAGCAGTTGAGCATCTGCCTTTGACTCAGGGCGTGATCCTGGAGTCCCATGATCGAGTCCCATGTCAGGCTCCCTGCATGGAGCCTGCTTCTCCCTCTCCCTGTGTCTCTGCCTCTCTCTCTTTCTCTCTCTGTGTGTGTCTCATGAATAAATAAATAAAATCTTTAAAAAAAACCCTCATATGCTGTATAGTTCACCCATCTAGAGTGTACAATTCATTGGTTTTTGGTGCATTCCTAGAGTTGTATAGCCATCACCTTAATCTAATTTTAGAACATTTTCATCACCCCCTGGAAGAAATACTGTATTCTTCAGCTACCATTCCCCAGCCTTCCCCCCATTACCCCCCCTCCCCCCACAACCACAAATTTCCTTCCTATCTCTTTAGATTCCCTATCCTGGGCATTTCACATCGGTGGACTCATGATATCTGTCCTTTTGGGTCTGGCTACTTGCACCCAGCAATCATGTTTTCAAGGTTCTCCCGTGCTGTAGCACATGTCAGATTCATTCCTTTGTCCTGTCAAATAATATTCCATCATTTGGCTATGCCACATTTTGTTCATCTGCACATCAGCTGATGGACAGGTAGGCTATTCGCACCTTTCAGCTGTGGTGAATGGTGCTCCCTGGACATTCCCATACAAGATTTTGCATAGACATAGGTCTTTAGTTCTCTTGGGTCCATGCCTAGGAGGCGAATTGCTGGGCCATAAGGAGACTCTGTGTTTCAGTGTTTGAGGAACCACTGGGCTGTTTTCTATAGCAGCTGCCCTACTTGCCATCCCCACCAGCCTGGTGTGGTAGGGACTGGAGGGGATGGAGTGGCTGGGGGCAGCCAGGTGGAAGTCACCATTGGAAGGTGCCCCTTCCCCGCAGGCTGAACTGGAGAATGTGTCCGGGGCCCTGAGTGAGGCCGAGTCCAGAGCCATCCGGCTGAGCAAGGAGCTGAGCAGCTCAGAGGCCCAGCTACATGACGCTCAGGTGAGGCCCGCTCCCCTCAACCCCCAGCACTGCCCCCACCATGGCTCTCCACCCTCTGCCTTCACCTTATCTCCATTTCCTCCACCACCTGTAGGAGATGCTTCAGGAGGAGAGTAGGGCGAAGCTGGCCTTGGGGTCCAAGGCGCGAGCCCTGGAGGCTGAAGTGGCGGGGCTGCGGGAACAGCTGGAGGAGGAGGCAGCCGCCAGGGAGCGGGCAGGCCGCGAGCTACAGACCGCCCAGGCCCAGGTGAGCAGTCCTGGAGGGAGACCTGGTGGGGCCTCCAGTCCCAACCCACTCCTCTGGGTTCCTCAGCTCAGGGATGGCCCCATTGCCTACCCAGTCCTAGGCCGGACCCTCGGGAGACCCCCATTCTTGTCTCTGACTCTCCCTCAGCCACAGCCTGCCCTTCACCACCCCACTCTGAGCTCCCAAGCCCTTTGTATTCTCATCCCCCTTCCAATCACCTTGGGCTGGAACTCTCTCTGCCCATGGGTCCCCACACACACCAGAATGGGAGCTCCTTGAAAGTGGAACCCATCAAAGTTAGGTCTTGGTCTTCAACACAGGCCAACCTAGTGCCTGGCATATAGGAGGCCTGGAGAAATGTCTGTTGAATGAATGAGTGATGACTGCATGCCTCTAAATATCCTTCTTCAACTGGCAGCTTCTATGCATACTTCAAGATCCATCTCAAATGCCCCCTCTTCCAGGAAGTCTCTCTTGAATGTTCTGAACAGATTCTAAATTCCTCCTGTGGGTTCCCATGGCTGCCATGCTGCTTCTCCCTTAGCCTCCACCACCCTGGCCTTGATGCTCAGTCTCCCCCATCAGAATGGAGTCCTCCCCAGGGTGGAATCCGGGTCTGATTCATCTTCTGGGTCCTGACGGGAGTAATTTTCATCTCCTGAAGAAGCTGAGGTTCATAGAACTCACAACCTCAAGCCTACTCCAAAGCAGAAGAACCCAGTACAACGAGTCCCTTTTCTCCTCAGGCCTCAGGCTCCTTGTCTGGGAAGTAGGGCACTACCTTGGTCTGGTCACAGCCATGACAGCCACCCACCCTTTCTCCTCATCCCATGCCCCACCCCCAGCTCTCAGAGTGGCGGCGGCGCCAGGAGGAGGAGGCAGGAGCCCTGGAAGCAGGAGAGGAGGCCCGGCGCCGGGCAGCCCGTGAGGCTGAGGCCCTAAGCCTGCGCCTGGCAGAAAAAACTGAGGCGGTGGAGCGGCTGGAGCGGGGCCGCCGCCAGCTGCGGCAGGAGCTGGACGATGCCACCGTGGACCTGGAGCAGCAGCGGCAGCTCGTGAGCACACTGGAGAAGAAGCAGCGCAAGTTCGACCAGGTAGGGCACCTCACCCAACCCGGTGGGCAGTCAGGATGCTCACTGGTGCCCCCATGGTCATTGTGTGCAGTCAGGAGGAGGAGATGTCAGGCTCCACTATGAACCTGGGGGGACCCTAGGGCAAGATGCTTCTTCCCTCTATGCCTCTGTAAAATAGGAACCCCTCATCCATCCTGGTTTATGTCTCCTGTCCCAAAATAATTATTGGTAGTACCCACTTTTTTTGTTGTTTTTGTTAAGAGAGGGAACTCGTGTATGAGCAGGGAGAGGGTGGGTGGGAGAGAACCTCAAGCAGACTCTACGCTCAGCACAAAGCCTGATGCAGGGGATCCCTGGGTGGCTCAGCGGTTTAGCGCCTGCCTTCAGCCCAGGGCGTGATCCTGGAGTCCTGGGATCGAGTCCCACATCAGGCTCCCTGCGTGGAGCCTGCTTCTCCCTCTGCCTATGTCTCTGCCTCTCTCTCTCGGTGTCTCTCATGAATAAATAAATTAACTTAAAAAATAAATCTCAGAATAATTTTGAGATTCATCCATGTTTTTGCATGGATTAATAATTCATTCTTCAGGGCATCTGGCTGGCTCACTTGGTGGAGCTTGTGATTATTGATTTTAGGTTCATGAGTTTGAGCTCCATATTGGGCATGGAGAAAACTTAATTAAAAAAATTTATAATAATGTATTCCTTTTTTTTGTATTCCTTTTTTTTTAACTGCCAAGTATTCCTGTATAGATAAACCACATTTTGAAAACCATTAACTTGTTGAACATTTGAGTTATTTCTAGTTTTTGCCTTTTATGGATAAAACCTTAGTCTTTCTAATAAGGTGTAGTGGTTTGAATTCACATTTCCCTAATGAGCAATGACACTGAGTGTCTTTCATGTGCTTATTTGCCATGTATACCTCTTTGGTGAAGTGTCTGTTCAAATCTTCTGTCCACTTTTTAAAATTAGGTTGTTTCCCCTTTTTTGTTTTGTTTTTGGGGTGGGAGTTGTTTCTTTCATTATTGAATTGGAAGTTCTTTATATATGGTAAATAAAAGTTCTTTAGCAGATCTATTATTTTGCAACTATTTCATCTAGTCTGTGGCTTGCCTTTTAATTCTTCATTAGAGTCTTTCAAAGAGCAGGAGGTTTGAATTTTGATGAAGTCCAGTTTATTAAATTGTTGCTTTGTGGACTGTGGTTTTTAGTGTTGTGTCTGAGGAGACTTTACCTAACTCAGTCACAGAGGTTTCTTATATTTTTTCCAGAAATTTCTACTTTTCAGTTTTATATATATGTTTGTGATCCAGTTTGAGTTAATTTGTTTATATTGTGCTAGTATGGCTCCAAATTAATTTTTTATACGTGGCTATTGAATTGTTCAGACACTGCTGAAAGAATCTCTTTACTGACTCATTTTTGCATTTATATTAAAAATCGGGTAGTGTCAGTTGTCCATTTTTTTTTCTTCTTTTTCAAAGTTCTTTTGCTTTTTCCAGGTCCTTCTCATTTCCACATGTACTTTAGAATCTGTTTGTCAGTTTCTACACACAGAAAGAAAATCCTCTTGATTTGGGATTTTATTGAATCTATAGATTAATCTGGGAAGAATTGACATCCTAACAATACCTAGTTTTCTGGCCTGGAGATGTGGTAGATGTGCCCATTTATTTACATCACCTTTACTTTTTGTACTTTTCAGTGTACATCTTTCTCATTTTTTATCAGATTTATTTCCAAGCATTTCATAATATTGATGCTATTTTTTTCTTTCTTTCTTTCTTTCTTTCTTTCTTTCTTTCTTTCTTCCTTTCTTTCTCTATTTATTTATCTATTTTTAAAGATTTTATTTATTCATAAGAGACACAGAGAGAGAGAGAAAGGCAGAGACACAGGCAGAGGGAGAAGCAGGCTCCATGCAGGGAGCCTGATGGGGTACTCAATCCCGGGACTCCAGGATGATGCCCTGGGCCAAAGGCAGGCGCTAAACCACTGAGCCATCCAGGGATCCCCTTTTTTTACTCTATTTAGATCATTTCTGTCAACTTGCTTTCAAGTTTACTGGTTCTTCTGAAGTGTCCAGTCTGCTTCGGTTTCCTCCAATGACTTTTTTATTTCAGATACCATGCTTTTCAGTCCTGGCCTTTCTAGTTGGTTCTGTTTTAGTTTCAAACCCCTCCTGAAATAACCTTGGGTCTTCACCCACTGTATCCATCTGGTCCTGAAATTTACTAATCTTAACTATGATTATGACTTTAACTATAGTCCTTGCGTGATAAATCCCAGTGATGAGGTCATCTGTTGGTCTGTTTCCATGGACTGGTTTTTCTCTTGACTATGATCCCTGTTCTCTTCCCCTTGTCAGATCTTGTAAGTTTTATTATTGTTGATTTCTGTGCCTTAAAAAAAAAGCCAACAAAGGTTGAAGTACATTGTAAAAATGGTATACGTGTCTTTTGTACCACTACCCCAGGAGCAAGAAACACTCTTTCCTCTGTCAGGCTTCTAGAATGAGGGGCTCCTCACTTTGATCCATTCAAGAGCTGGGCTGGTCAGGGACACAGTTGCAACTTTAATCCCTCTACCTCCGTCTTGTGTCTCTGCCTTTGTCTGTCTGTCTCTCTCTCTGTCCCTGGCTGCTCCCTCTTCCACATCCACTTGTACACTCCTTTCAGCTAATCTATTTCCCCCACCCCATCTCCCTCAACCTGGAAGCTCCTGGCAGAGGAGAAGGCAGCTGTCCTGCGGGCGGTGGAGGAACGTGAGCGGGTCGAGGCGGAGGGCCGGGAGCGCGAGGCTCGGACCCTGTCACTGACTCGGGCGCTGGAGGAGGAGCAGGAAGCACGTGAGGAGCTGGAGCGGCAGAACCGGGCCCTGCGGGCAGAGATGGAAGCACTGCTGAGCAGTAAGGATGACGTCGGCAAGAACGTGAGCAGGGGCCCCCACTCCACAAGACACACGTGTGGACAACTGCATGCACACCTGATGTTGGGAGACACAGACACACGTGTGTGCTCTTATGCATGGATCACAGAATCATCCATCAGAGTTACATGTTCATGCCAAGCACAGAATGATAGGAGAGCTGCTGACCAAACGTACATGCTCACATAACATACACAGAGTATGAGGAGAATCTTCCACCAGACACATATGTTCATACACACATGCAGGAAGTAAGGAGAGCCATTCCTCAACATGCATGTTCACATACACATGCATAACAAGAGGAGAATCTTCCAGAGAACATAAAGAGAATTTACACACTACGTGCAACCTGAGAACCACACCCCAAACATGAGTCTATGCACATGCACACACCACACGTACCATACACACCACACACACATACATTTCCTCACACACACCACACATGTACCACACATCATGTGTACATACTGCACACACACCACACACACATATACCCCTCACACATACCACACACATCACATACACATATACCTTCTCACACACATATATCCCCTCACACATCACACACATCCCCTCACACATACCACATACCCAGTGTGAGGACATCCCACCTTGCCACCCTCAACCCCACTGAACACATAGAGGCTCCCCCCAGGTCTCTCTCTTCCCCCCTGAATCACAGGTCAATGAGTCTCCCAGGGCCAACAGGGAGTCCCCTAGGCCAGTCCTCAGTCACCACTCACTCAGCCCACATCCCAGCCTTCTAGAAAGGTCCACCACACCCTCTATTGTATCCATTCTGCCCAATAAATATACTTATGGAGCAGCAGCAAGGACAGGCCCAGGGATACCCACCACCCTGACTGATGATAGGAGGCACTGACAGGATTTGTGTTTCAGTGAGGCTCTGAGCAGACACACTTCCAGTGCCCTTTCTTATTGCCAACAACACACTCTCATGGGTACAGCAGATAAGGGCTTTATCTTCTCCACACACTCTGGTGTTGATCTGATGGAGCTTTCAGCCAAGTCTGGAGGGAACCCCTGAACCCCATGACATACCCTTGGCCTGCAGTCCCAGGGATACCAGAGTTAAAATCCAGCTCATGCTCAAACTACTAAGGTCTCTCCTTCGGGAAAACTGTCAAGTTATTCATGGTTACTCCAAAAGGCCTACTTTGTTCGAATAGGATGTTGATGGGAGAAAATTTAACTCCTTCCAGTAAACAAAACTGATTGGCAGGTGCCAAATAGGAAAGGAGACCTGTTGGCGTCTTCCAAGGGCAGGAGGTAGACACTGTCACTGATGAGAATTTCCATGAGGTTCTTTGGGCAGTAGTGACACATAGATACAGTCCCTGCCCCATGAAACTCACAGTCCAGTGTAGGGGGTGGATGTTGCATAAGAAGACACATAAGCTCATGTTAAATGACTGTTGTGACTAAGGCTGAGTCAGAGAGGGGCTCGGGGCAGCAGCTTGGATAACAGAAAGGCCCGGACAAGCCAAGGGACGTTCCTCTGAGAAGGTGACAGTTAAAGGAGAAGCACAGGCACGGGACTTGGGGTCTCAGAACTCATAAGCCCAAATCTGTCTTCCAGCAGTGTTTAGGATTTTAATTTACAACTCCCCGGAAGTTCTGGGAACCCTCATGCTGAGAAAAAAAATCACAGTAGATGGTGGAATGGTACTATCCTGGGGAGTCCAACACACAGCAACACTCAACTCTGGAGCTATGTTCCTCCAACCCAGATCCGCACAGGATTCCCAGAGTTGAAGCTCCAGGGAAGTCAGCTCACGATGCAAAAATCTCAAAACCCACAAGGAAGTAATCCACTGTGAGTGAGAGTCAGCTGGCCTAACAAACACTTGAACCAGATTCTCAGGGCCTGCAGATAAGAGAACTTGCACACATCGGTTATTAATGAATTGTTTTAGGATGATTCGGCAGGAGACACAGAGTAACTAGCTGCCCTGGGCAATGGTGAATGAATGAGCAAACCAGAATGTGCACATCAGCTTGTCCATTAAAGCTTCCTTCACTCTGTCCTCCGAGAGATCTAGGATCCCCCTCCCCCACCTCCCCAAGACCCGGGAGCCCAGAGCTCACCTTCCCATCCCCCCAGGCGCATGAGCTGGAGCGATCCCGCCGGGCAGCAGAACAGACAGCCAATGACCTGCGAGCACAGGTGACCGAGCTGGAGGATGAGCTGACGGCAGCCGAGGACGCCAAGCTGCGGCTGGAAGTGACCGTGCAGGCTCTCAAGGCGCAGCACGAGCGCGACCTGCAGAGCCGAGATGAGGCTGGCGAGGAGAGGCGGCGGCAGCTGGCCAAGCAGGTAGGAGACCAGGCTGGAGGGCGCCTGCCCACCGAGCTGGGAGGGCTCTGGTGCCCGGAGGCTAAAAGAGGAGACAAGAAAGTCTTACCTACCTGCTGCTCAGTGTTTCTTCCCAAGGCCTTCCTGTTCCCCAGCCATCACCCACCATAACCCCTGAACCCACACACATGTCCCACTGACTGACATGCCCTGGATCAGATATCACCACTGAACCATTCACCCAGCCCCCCACCCACACACAGCCCCCCCACCAACCAACGCTTCTCTGCAGCCACATCTGTGTCCAGCTTCTCCATTTGCCCAACTAACCCTTTCCAGCAACTTCCTCTCCCCAGCCGCTCCCAACTTCCCCAGCCTGCCCAAGTGCTCATCCATCACTCATGGACCAGCTCATCTACACCCCTCTATCCACAGCCTTCCTCCCTCATTCATTTACTCATTCCCCCTTCCCTGTGGTCTGTAGCATCCATTTCTGACCCATCCAGTGGAGGGCTTTCTTGTGGTCTGAAGCTGGCTGGCACTGAGTGCTGAGCATGGGAGGGTCAGGGCAGCTCTGAATGTAGAAAGACCTGGAGCTGTGTGGGAATGGGCTGCAGGGGACAGTTGGGAGCAGAGCAGAGGCTGGACCAAAGGCAGGGAAGGATAAGCCCAGAGCCAGGGCTCTGGTGACAGAGCACAGGAGGAATGGCGCTGCTGGCCTGGACAGGGGCTGGTGGGTGGACATCTAGGTCACTAGCATGTAGAGGGAGGCTGGACCTTTGTCCCCTGAGCCTACCCCTTCTGTCTTCCCCACAGCTGAGGGATGCAGAGGTGGAGCGGGACGAGGAACGCAAGCAACGCGCCCTGGCTGTGGCCGCCCGCAAGAAGCTGGAGGCTGAAGTAGAGGACTTGAGAGCCCAGAATGCGATGGGGGTGCAGGGCAAGGAGGAAGCGGTGAAGCAGCTCCGCAAGATGCAGGTAGGGGCCGGGCTCAAGCCCACCATGAGCCAGTCCCGCTGTTCCCCCCACACACACATCTCCTCTGCACCGCTCTATAAACATCCAAGCACCAAAGGCTCACTTGCTCCTTTTTATATTTTTTATTTCCTTTACTTAGGATACTTAGGTTTTTTTTTTTTTTTTGGAGTCCAATATCCTCATTTTACTTAATTTTTGAGATGAAAATGCCTTAGGGTTCCTCCCCTAATATGAAATCTATACCTGGTTGTTTAAAATAAATTGGAGGGTGGGGGGAAATAGGTACCCGGCTGGCTCATTTGGTGGAGCTTCTGACTCTTGATCTCTGGGTCGAGAGTTCCAGCCCCAGACTGGAGTAGAGATTACTTAAAATTTTTTTCTTTCATGATAATGATGTGTCCGTGTAAAGTCTAATTTTTTTTTTTAAATTTATGAGAGACAGAGAGAGAGAGAAGCAGGCTCCATGTAGGGAGCCCTGTGTGGGACTCTGAGATCTCAGGATCACACCCTGAGCCAAAGGCAGATGCTCAACCCCTGAACCACCCAGATGTCCCAAGTCTAATTTTTTTTTTTTAAGGTATAGAACTGGGCTGTCCAATACAGCCAGCCCCATGTGGCTATTGGGCATCTAAGATGTGGTGGGGCTGAAATCCAAATCACATGCTGGATTCTGAAGACTTAGTACAAAAAAACAAAACAAAACAGTAAACTATCTCAATTTTTATAGTGATTGTAAATGGAAATAACATTTTGGATAGGTCAGGCGGAATAAAAATATTGTGTTCAAACTACTTTCAGCCATTTTTTTTTTTTACCTTGTTAATGTGGCCACTAGAAAATGTAAAACAACATATGTCCTTGCTATATCTTCCCAGTGAGCAACACGGGGATAAAAAGATCCCTCCCCAAAAAGTAAAAATTACCAATTATGTCATCCCTGAGAAAAAGTGCCTGCACTGAAAAGCTGTTATTATCAAGCAAGTAATAATATTAATAACAGCAATGATCCTTAATAAGAGCAATGATCCTGCTAGTACCACCCCCAGCGCTATCCTCACCATCCTTTCAGAGTTTTTTTTTTTTTAATAGTGATGGACGTCAAGTTTGGGTTTTACTTTTCTTTAAGCGCTATTGAAGAGAAAAGCCTTACACTGGCATCTTTACACACTTAGTGGTGTGACCGCATAGTAAAGTGACTAGAAGTGTAAATTCTGAGGCCAGATGGCCTGGGTTCAAGTCCTGACTCTGCCATTAACCACGCTCCGCTTATGGCGGAACCTCTCTGCGCCTCATTTGCTCCATGTGTCCACTGGGGAGGAAACTAATCCCCACTAGCTGGAGTTGTGAGGATTAAGGGAGTCAGTACATAAAAGGGCCTGGCCCGCGGTAAATGATCAGCAAGAGTGTGCCAGCATAATTATTACTGCAGAGTCCAAATACTACACCCATTTCATGCTGACTTTTAATTTTAAGGTGTTACTTATATAAACTGGAGGGAGCCGAGGCCCAGAGATGGGGAGGGGCTGGGGCCGGCTGCAGGGCTTTGCTTGTTTTCCGGGGGCAGAGGAGCTCCGGAGCACTCCCGCAGGGCGGAGGCGAGGGGAGGGGCTTCCCCGTGAGCCACCACCCGGCTGCACCGCTCACATGCTTTGTTCGGCCCAGACCCAGATGAAGGAGCTGTGGCGGGAGGTGGAAGAGACGCGCAGCTCCCGGGAGGAAATCTTTGGTCAGAACCGGGAGAATGAGAAGCGCCTCAAGGCGCTGGAGGCAGAGGTGCTGCGGCTGCAGGAGGTGAGGCCTGGATGGGCGTGGCCCTGGGAAGGGGTAGGTGGTGGGCGGGGCGCTGGGGATTGGAGGCAAGGGGTGGGGCGGAGCCCACAGGCTGGGCTCCAGGGCCCTAGGGAGCCCTGGGAGGATTCTGAGCAAAGTAGGAGGAGCTTGGAGTCAAGGAGGCTGGAGAGAGGATAAAGCCTGAGCTGGGGCGGTGGGGATGCAGACACAAGAGTAAGGGTGGGCATGGATAGGGCTGTGGGTTGTAAGGGGGCAGAGGAGGTGAGGAGAGCCCGAGGGTCAGGCCTGGTGCCTGGGGGAGCCTGGAGCAGGAGGTTTGAAAGGAGATGCTGAGCTCTGTGAGGCCATGCGGAGGGGGAGGGGCCTGGAGCCGGGAAACTAGAGGTGGTGGGGTCAGGGGCTCTGTGGAGACGGCTGCCTGTAGATAGAATTTCATTCCAAGGCTGCCCAGGGATGGGATGTTCATTTGCACTGAAGACAAGGCCAAGAGACCTGAGGTGTGAGGGGCAAGGAGGTCCCATGCTAGGATAGGGTCCCATCGCCACTGCTGACTACCACCCCTCTCTATCACAGGAATTGGCCGCCTCAGATCGTGCCCGGCGGCAAATCCAGCAGGAGCGGGATGAGATGGCAGACGAGGTGGCCAATGGCAGCCTTAGCAAGTGAGTGGCCAGTTGTAGTGTGTGGGGCAGGGCCCGGACCCTGGCCATTCGGCCTGCTCACCCTCCCCTATTCCCCTTGTCCTTAGGACGGCTATTCTGGAAGAGAAGCGTCAGCTGGAGGGGCGCCTGGGTCAAATGGAAGAAGAGCTGGAGGAGGAGCAGAGCAATGCAGAGCTGCTCAATGACCGCTACCGCAAGCTGCTCCTGCAGGTGAGCATAACTGTCACCCCCTGACGGCCTGGGCCTCTGCTGACCTGGGACCATAATCTTCAGTCCTTTTATTCAACAGGTAAAGGAGAAGGGGATATCTAGTTTGGGTTTTCATGGTTGAATAGGAGTTTTTGAGGGTGGTGGGGGTAGGCACTGATGCATTCATTCACTTGTGTTTCTGAAGCTTCTCAAGGGCTGGATCCAGACATGAATTATGTGGGGTCTCTGTCCTCCAGAGTTCCCTGGGAACATAGACCTGGAACTCAGTGTCTATGGGTGGGGTGGCATGTGTGATAATAGAAGTATGTGGGGCCCAGCAGAGAGACAGACAGAGGTAGAGAGAAAGGAAGGAGGGAAAGAACTCTCTGGAAAAATCATAAAATATGTGGAAGGAGAGATATTTGCTGGGATTTGAAAGCATAAGTAGAACCTAGGCAGACAGAAAAGCATATTTTCATTTGTGTATTTATTTATAAATACTGTTGGAAGCTTCTGGAGGCTCAGGTCCTATTCTGTGGGGTGTTGGGGACCTGGTGATGGATCATTCCAGGTCTCTGCCTTTAAGGAGACAGACTATCCCAATACAGAAGTATAAATGAAAATGGAGGAAGCACAGGACACTGTGAAGAGAATACTGACCCAAGCCTGGAGGTTAAGGGGCTATCAGGGAAGACTTCCTGATGGAGGAGATATCTTAAGTCTTGAAGAAAGTTAAGAGTTTAGGGCAGCCTGGGTGGCTCAGAGGTTTAGCGCCACCTTCAGCCCAGGGCATGATCCTAGAGACCTGAGATTGAGTCCCATGTCGGGCTCCCTGTATGGAGCCTGCTTCTCCCTCTGCCTGTGTCTCTGCCTCTCTCTCTCTCTCTCTGTCTCTCTCTCTCTCTGTCTCTCATGAATAAATAAATAAAATATTTTAAAAAAAGAAAAAAAGAGTTTGTCAGGCAGACAATGGAGGGATGGGATTTCCAGAGAGAGAGAGACACATGTCACCACTATTTAATTAATTTTTTTTTAATTTGAGAGAGAGAACATGTGAGCATGTGTGAAAGAGGGGGATGGTGGGAAGAGACAGGGAGAGAAGGAGAGAGAATCTTAAGCAGGTTCCATTCCCACCATGGGCTTGATCCCCCGTCCCTGAGGTCATGACCTGAGCCAAAATTAAGAGTCAGACACTTCACTGACTGAGCCACCCAGGTGCCTCTCATTAATTTTTTTTAAAGATTGTATTTATTTATTCATGAGAGAGAGAGAGAGAAAGGCAGAGACATAGAGGGAGAAGCAGGCCCCATGCAGGGAGCCCAGTGTGAGACTCGACCCTGGAACCACGGGATCATGCGCTGAGCCAGAGGCAGACACTTAACCACTGACCCACCCACCCAGGTGTCCCAATTTTTAAAGACACATTTTGAGGCCTCTCAGGAGCCATGTCCTGTCACTGCTGTCAGGATTCAGAGAAGAGTAAGACCCCAGCTCAGCCCTTGCAGAGAACCTAGACCAGTAGGAGAGGCAATCGTACTCCAGAATGATGACCTCACTCAGAATGAAAGCCCAGTCATAAAGGTTGCACACTCTAGTCCCTGGCCAAGGGCAGCTCAGACCTTATATCTAACCCTTTGTCATCCCTGGTTGACTCTGCTCTATCCACACCAGCCTTCTCGCTATTCCTTGACTCTGCCAAGTTTATTCCTACCTCAGGGCCTTTCCTTTTGCTATTCCCACCTACTGAGAGAAAGCTCTTACATGAGACCACCCATATCTCGTTCCTTCAGAAGAGCCTTCCCTGACCACCCTGGGTGAAACAGCCACCCTTTCTCCCACAATTACCCTCCATTCTTTCTGCTTTAATCTCCTTCAGATCACTTACTGCTACCTGGCACTATATTATATACTTACCTGTTTGTCTGCTGTCCATCTCCCCAACAGAATGTAAGCACTTTGAGGGGCACCTGAATGGCTCAGTTGATTAAGCATCTGACTCTTGATCTTGGTTCAGTCTCAATTTCGGGGTGGTGAGTTCAAGTCCCCTGTTGGGCTCCATGCTAGGTGTGGAAAGCTACTTAAAAAAAAAAAAAGGGCAGCCCTGGTGACTCAGCGGTTTAGCGCTGCCTTCGGCCCAGGGTGTGATCCTGGAGACCCAGGATCGAGTCCCACGTCAGGCTCCCTGCATGGAGCCTGCTTCTCCTGCCTGTGTCTCTGCCTCTATCTCTTTGTGTCTCTCGTGAATAAATAAACTCTTTAAAAAAAAAATAACGTAAGTACCTCAAGAGTAGGGCTTCTGTCTTATGATCACTACTCTATCCCCAGTACCTAAAACAGTGCTACGTGCTCATTAGAAATGAGGTAAGTAAGCCAATCCATGCTCTGGTGAAGGGAGCATAGGATTCTACAAGCATACAAGGAATGATATGACATAACCAACCTGCATCCTTTGTTGTTGATGAAAAGGAGAACGTCTTTAAAAATCAAAATGGGGGTGGGGTGCGCCTAGGTGGCTCAGTGGGTTAGCTGTCTGACTTCAGCTCAGGTCATGATCTCAGGGTCCTAGGATCAAGCCCCACATCAGTCTCTATACTCAGCACAGAGTCCTCTTGGGACTCTCTCCTCCCGCTACCCTTCCCCTCTGTGCATGCATGCATTCCCTCTCTTTCTAAGTAAATAAATAAATCTTTAAAAAAATCAAAGTGAAATTTTAAAAGACACAAAAAGGGATTTATAAGAAAATAGCAAATATTGAAGAGAAGCAAAGAAGATCCAACATATGGTAATGGGAGTCTCCAACGAAGAAGACCCAGGCAGGGGGATAGACCAAACCTGAGAGAATAATACAAGAAATTTCCTGAAATAATATAGCTGAAAGCTACATACTAGAAGAGCACACTGTGTACACAGAATATAATGACCCATCAAAACCAATATCAAGACAGATGCTAGTAAAACTGCACAAGTTGGGGGGGGGGGTTGGGGAGTGGCTATCCTTAACCATCTAGGAAAAAATGAGCACGTGATCTACAAGGAAAAGGAAATTAGATTTTTTTTAAGATTTATTTATTTATTCATGAGAGACACAGGCAGACAATGGAGAAAGAGAGGCAGAGACACAGGCAGAGGGAGAAGCAGGCTCCATGCAGGGAGCCCAACATGGGACTCGATCCCAGGTCTCCAGGATCACACCCCGGGCCGAAGGTGGCGCTAAACCACTGAGCCACCCGGGCTGCCCAGGAAATTAGATTTTCATCAGATTTTTGAGAGCAAGATTTCGTGCTGCAAGAAAATGGGAGGATATAGTTAAGATTCGCAGAGAAAGATGTGAGCTGTGGATTTTGCATCCAGCAAGACTTCCTTCCAAGCATAAAGGACACAGACGAGTTGTCAGCATGCAGCAGCTGGGGGGCCATGTTCCCACAAGTGATTCCTGAAGAATCTATGACAGAGGTGGTTCTCAAAGTGGCTCCAAGGCTGGCAGCATCAGAATTACCTGGGAACTTGCTGGGAACGGAAGTTCTCTGGCCTCAGCCAAGCCAAAGTGAGTGAGGAATGCCAGAAGTGAGGCCCAGCAATGTGTTTTAACAAACCCTCTGGGTTCTGAGGCTTGATATGTCTGAGGGCCGCTGCCCAGAGCCCCAGGTTCTGGTGATTCTCCAGTGTGAGAGCATAATGAACATGCAGTCTGCTCACTGTTCTAAGATGGAGTAAAGGCTGAAAAGGAGTAAGAAAGGCAATGGATATCTGTTCAGTTGTGTGCAGTGCAACTATTTTTAAATTAAGAGAATGGGCAAACAAGAAAAAAAATTGTATTACTATATTGAGTAATTATATTGGTAATTCGCATTGTGTTTTCTGAGACCATCCCATGGAATAAAGCACAAGAGAAAAGACACGATCTTTGCATTCTGTTGCCACCCGCGTCCATAACCATGTGAGCACCTAAATGTAGATGTGTCGTGGGCAGAGGTGAAATTAAAACCAAAGAGAACCCTGTGGCTCTGAATTTGACTGGGACTTGTTCACAGGGACTATTTCTGCTCATCAGGCCTAAGAACAAGAACCAATCCAGCAGTGGTGAGCAATCCCTGCTACCCAGGTTTGTGGTCCAGAATTCCATCTCCTGCTCAAAGAAACCGGAGCTTCTTTACAAATGGCCAATTGCAGATTGGAGACAGGAAATGAACAAGAGGAACGTGGAGCATCTGATCATACCATGCCCTAATCTGCTAAAGCTGCCATAACAAAATACCACAGATAGCAATTGGGGGGATGGGGTGGGGGATCACACAACAGACAATTATTTCTCACAGTTCTGTGAGCTGGGAGTCCAAGATCAAGATGCCAATGAGCTAAATTTTATTCTGAGGATAGCACCTCTTTTGGCTTGGAGACAACCACCATGTGTGTGCCTATGCAGAAATTAGAGCACTCCCTGGAGGCTCCTTATAAGGGCACTAATGCCATCATGGGGGTCCCACCCTCGTTGCCTCATCTAACCCTAATTACCTCCCAAAGGCTCATCCCAAGATACCACCATAATGGGGTTAGGACTTCAACATAGGAAATCTGGGGGGACACGAGCATTCAGTTCATAAGACATTTATCAAGGGAGCTAGTTTAGTTCTGCCAGAAAGCACCTAGACATCAACCGGGAGAGGTTCCTGGTGGCCACAGATGGAGCCATTGGAGTTTCTACAAGGATAATAATCACAACTGCTTTAAATGTATCTAATCTGTTTAAATCCATCAATTCACAGTGATTTCAATACTCATTAATAATTATATTAGTTTCCTAGGGTAGCTATAACAAAGTATGCCAACCCAGGTAGCTTTAAAACGACAGCAGCTTCGGAGCACCAGGGTGACTTAGTTAAGTGTCTGATTCTTGATCTCAGCTCAGGTTTTGATCTCAGGGTTATGAGTTCAAGGTCCACACTGGGCATGGAGCCTACTTTATTTTTTGAAAAGATTTTATTTATTCATGAGAGACACAGAGAGAGGCAGGGACATAGGCAGAAGGAGAAGCAGGCTCCATGCAGGGAGCCTGATGTGGGACTCGATCTCGGGTCTCCGGGATCATTCCCTGAGCCAAAGGCAGACACTCAACTGCTGAGCCACCCAGGCATCCCTGGAGCCTCCTTTAAAAAAATAAAGTATAGGGATACCTGGGTGGCTCAGTTGGTTAAGTGTCTGCCTTCGGCTTGGATCATGATCTCAAGGTTCTGGCACCAAATCCCAGGTCGGGCCCCCTGCTCAGTTGGGAGTCTGCTTCTCCCTCTCCCTCTGCTCCTCCCCCTGCTTTCTCTCTCTCTCTCTCTCTCTCTCTCTCTCTCAAATAAAATCTTTAAAAAGTTTTTTAAAAGCATATGCTAATCACCATGTCAATGTGTTCCTGTGAGGACACAGTGAAATAAAGTATGAATCAGACTGGAACTGACTCACTTCCTTAGACCCAGCACAGGACCTCACTTGGAGTACGAGCTGAATAAATAAATAGGGACTATTATTAGGGGTGTGTTTACACATTCTCAATGTAGTAGCTGCTATTTGTTGAGCTGGCATTTCTTAATATTCCACACGTCACCTGTATCAGAACCACCTGAGGTGCTTGTTGAAAATGCAGATTCATGGATCTGCTAGAAGCAGAATTTCTGGAGAGCAGGACCTGCAGTCCTCATCTTTTTTGCAAGCTCCCCAGATGATCCTGGTGTGAAAAGAAGTGTCATAACCTTTCAAATAGACTCATTCACAGTCCAAGGTAGAATTTATATCATTTAAACAAGTTTGTGATAGTCTTGTGGACTTACTAAAATAGCAGAAAGCTATCCAAAAGGTTAAAACCTGGGGCTGGCACTGCTGTTGGCTGATAAGCCAACCAGAAAAAATACATGCTGACATTTATTGGGTATTTAGTATGCACCAGGCTCTGTGCTGTTCACTTCACAATTGTCAACTCATTTAATTGTGGGAGGTACCTGAATTTACCTACCATCTTCCCTCTGAGACTCCACCATGACAGTTCTGCTTTTCCCACTGCTACAGGTGGAATCACTGACTACAGAATTGTCAGCTGAGCGTAGTTTCTCAGCCAAGGCAGAGAGCGGGCGACAGCAGCTGGAGCGGCAGATCCAGGAACTCCGGGGGCGCCTAGGTGAGGAGGATGCTGGGGCTCGGGCCCGCCAGAAGATGGTCATTGCTGCCCTGGAATCCAAGCTGGCCCAGGCTGAGGAACAGCTGGAGCAGGAGAGCAGGTAGGTGGGAGAAGAGGGCACAGCTGGAGGGTGATCCCCACATTCTGGTCAATGAGATGAAGGAGAGCTGTTTCGAAACATCCAAAAGGCATCATAATGTTAATGAGTGCTGATTTCCTATATTTTTTAGGATACTCTAGGCTGCAAGTAACTACAGTCTCACTAAGAATATGATTTAAACAGTAATGTAGGGGCGCGCCTGGGTGGCTCAGTCAGTTGAGCATCTGACTCTTGGTTTTGGCTCAGGTTATGATCTCAGGATCATGGGATCAAGCCCCGTGTTGGGCTCCAAACTCAGTGTGGAGTCTGCTTCTCCCTTTCCCTCTGCTCCACCCTGATACCACACACTCTCTAAAAAAATCTTCAGGGCAGCCCCAGTGGCGCAGCGGTTTGGCGCCACCTACAGCCCAGGGCGTGACCCTGGAGACCCTGGATCAAGTCCCATGTCAGGCTCTCTGCATGGAGCCTGCTTCTCCCTCTGCCTGTGTCTCTGCCTCTCTCTCTCTCTCTGTGTCTCTATGAATAAATAATTAAAATCTTAATAAATAAATAAATAAATAAATAAATCTTCAAACAGTAATGTAGCAGTTAGCTCTGGCTGCATAACAACCAACCCTAAATTTTAGTGGCTTAAAACAACCACCATTTATTACTGCTCATGAGTATTTGGCTGGCTGATAGGTTTTGCTGATCTGAGCATGAGGGCTTCATTCACACATCCATAGCCATGTCAACTAGATGGATTTGCTGATCTTGGTTGGGCTCTCATTGCCTAAGGCCATGCCTGGGAAAATGAGGCTAACTTATCTCTGCTCTGGGTTGGCCCAGAATTGTTCACATGGCAGAGCCCAGGTTCCAAGACTGAGGGAAAGTGTTAGAGGCTTCTTGGGGCCTAGACTTGAACGGGTACAGTGGCATTTCTGTCAGCTCAGATGTAAGGGAATGGTGAAATAGATTCTGTCTCATGGTGGGAGAAGCTGCAAAGTCCTGTTGCAAAGGCTGGAGGATAAAGAAAGAGGTGAGAACTGAGGCCATTTCTGTCCCAGGCAGAGCAACAACCTTAGGGACACATATGGGAGCCATCAGGGCATTTGGAGGAGTGTGACTGGTCCTGGGAGCCTGTGACTCAGGAGAGGGATGGGGAGGCAAGAGCCTTGAATGCCAGGTTGAGGAACTCCATCTGGGGGATATGGGGAGCCATGGGGGTAGGGGTTGTGAGCAGGGGAGGGGCAGGGCCAGTGCAGGGTGTAGAAAGTCCACCTGGAGCCAAGTTGGGAGCAGACTAGAGGTCAGACTGGGAGCTGGGGAGGAGGCCGGGTGATGGTCCAGGTGGCAGGAGATGAGGCCTGAGCTGGGGCTTGGGTGTGAGGATTGACACAGATGGAGGGGATGAAAAAGAAAGTTGGAGGCAGAAGAGGTAGAGCTGATAGGCTGTTGTGGGTGTAAAGGAAAGAGGGCAGTGTTTGGGGCTAAGTCCTGGTGAATTTGGGGGGAACAAGTTCACTGGGGAACATGATGAGCATGAGAGGTGTCAGGGACAGGCAGTGGGAAGCAGCCCTGGACGGGCATGGGAGAAAGTATTCGCATCCCAGGGCCTGGCCTGTGGCCCAGGAACTCATGGGAGATGTAGTTTAGGGTCTCTAGGGAAGACTTCCAGAGGCAGATGAATACACGGGTCTGAGCTCTCCTCTGTCCTATTATTCAGATGGAGAAACTGAGGCTCAGAGGGTGTTAAGGACCTGTTCAGAGTCACCCTGGGAGCAAGGAGTGGCCAGGGTATCTGTAACTAAATGAGCCTCCCCCACTGCATCCCCTTCGACGACTGGAGCCCTCCCACATCCCCCAGCCCTGTGCCTTCCCCTCAGCACATCTGGGGCTGCTGTGTACAGTGGTGGCTGCCAACCACTGCCCATCACTAGGGGCCCCATCATGTGGAGTTCACCCCAGGTGTGATGGTCCATGCAGGAGAGGGCAGATGAGCCGGGACCACACCGGGGATGGGGAAATTCGGGAGGGGGAGGGATAGGCTTTGAGGGGAGAAGAGGTGAAAATGGCTATGGTGTGTGACCTGCAGATGTAGGTGGAGCAATGGGAAGCAGGAGGAGGAGCAGGTTAGGGAGAAGGCATGGAGCCTAGTGAAGAATGTGAGGGTTGTGTGGGGTCTGGTGGACGGCCCAGGCTGGGGGCCGATCCAGGCCGGAGCCCAGAAGATTTAGATTTAGCAGTCATGGGGCCCTTGCTGGGCGTGGGGACCTGGGATGCAGATGGGTGTGTCCAGGGAAAGCATGTATGTGAGAGAGGGGAGAAGCAGCCAGGGGAGCTGAGGGGGGAGCTCTGGGCTTCCAGAATGTCACCCACATACTTGTGGACAGTGCAGAAGGGAGCTGAGAAGGAAGGGACAGGCCAGGTCAGGTGGGAGAATACAGGGTTGAGCTGCGGGCTAGAGGACAGAAAGGAGGGGACAGGACAGAGTTTAGGGGGCAATAGGATGGGGTTTGGGTGCTGACAGGCTGGTCATGGGGCCAGGAGAGAAGAGGCAAGGATCACACCCCAGATCTCACCTGGGCCTGGTGGTCAGTGAGTCAATTCCCTGAGAGGAGGTCTAGGAGTGCGCAGTGGGGTATGGTGAACTGGTTCAGGCGTGGAGACACTTTTAAGAATGCAAGGCATCTTGGTTTCAAGTCAAGAACTAGATGCCCTGGAGTCAGAAGCCTGGGAACCTTGTCTAGCCTGAGTAGCTTGTGGGAGCCACTTTAAGGTAGGAAAGAGGGAAAAAGGCCATTCCAAAAACAGGATGGCAGCCATTGGACGAGGCTGAGGGGACAGAACCCCACTGGCCCGCCTCTCCTGATTGTCTCCTTCATGCTTCTCTCCAGGGAGCGCATCCTCTCAGGCAAGTTGGTGCGCAGGGCCGAGAAGCGGCTGAAAGAGGTGGTACTCCAAGTGGAGGAGGAGCGGAGGGTGGCTGACCAGCTCCGGGACCAGGTGAGCAGTTGACATCAGTCTTGGGGGAGCAGTGGGGGGCGGGGGGCAGGAATGGTCTCCACTGACAGAGAGACAGCCCATCCCATCCATGGAGGCACTGCGTTCCCATCACAAGAGGCAACTTGCAGCCACCATCCTGGTGCAGCAGCATAGATCTAGAATCAGTGACTCTGCAAAGAATCTAAATTGTGGAACCTAGGCACGGTCCTGGTGGGGAGCTGAGGCAACCAGAGAGAAGGAAGAAGTGAAACCCTACCCAGAGGCGAGGCTGGGGCTAAAATCACAACATGTAGTGTTTACAGAGTGCCTTCTATGTGCTGGGCTCTGTGCAACAGACATAATGTGTAGTACATTTAGTTCTTATCAGAACCCTACAAGGTGGTTTACTAGTCTTTTCCCTCTTATTCAGGTGAGGAAAATGAGGCACAGAAAGGTGAAAGAACTTGTACAAATTACTGAGCTCATAAGAGATGGAGTCTGGGTTCAAACCCCAGGACTCTGGCTGCAGAGTCTGTGCTCTTGATTATTTACAGAGCAGCATCTGTGCCCCAAGTACTGTGCCACGTGGTTTCAAAATATTTATGTATAGATGTCTGCGTTCTCTCACCAGCTGCAAGGCACAGGTGGGAAAATAGAAACTTTGAAAGGGGACACAATTTGTGCCAAAGTCACACAGTTAGTAGAGACAGAGCCTGCATCAGATCTGTCTGACTCTAGACAGAGTCGCCGTGCCCTTAAAAGCTCAGCTGCAGCTTATTCGCCTTTCACTCCACAATTATCAGGTACCCATTGCTGTGTTTGGCATTGGAGATAGGGTTGTGAACAAACAGAGAAGGTTCCTGCATTCACATTTGTAGCATAGGAAAAGAAAGATACAAACCTATGAATAAGGAAAGATGATGACAGACTGAAGGGCTATGAAGGAACAAGAGAATGAAGAGAGGAGATGGGAGAGGATTAGGGAATACTCTGTAGATTGGGGGTAGGGGAGTGAGGTCAGGAAGACCTCTCTAAGGAGCTTACATATGAATTGAGAACTGAAGGGAGAGAAAGAGTCAGGCAGAGGTTGGGAACAGTAGGTCCAAGGCCGTGGGGGTGCAAAAAGAGCCGTGTGGCTGGAGAGAATGGGGAAGGAAGGTTGAGTGATAAGAAATGAGGCCAGAGGGGTTGGTGGGAGGCAGATCATGAGTGTCCCATTCATGGAGATAGAGGGCTTTGGGGAGGGTCTTAGTGAAGATGACCTGGCCAATGGGTTTATCGAAAGAAGACCCTGCATGGCCTGAAGGGATAGGGTCTTGTCTGAGGGCCACTGGGGAGCCACGGGAAGGCTTTGAGCAGAGGAGAGACATGGTCAGTTCTGGGCATGGACATACCCCTCTGAGGCCAAGTGGGGGACAGCCTCACACTTGAAGCTGGAATGGAGGCTGGCAAGAGGATGGAATGGGCACCTGGGTGGCCCACTGGCTGAGTGTCTGCCTTCTGCTCAGGTCCTGATCCCAGGGTCCTGGGATTGAGTCCTGCATCAGGCTCCCCTCAGGGAGCCTGCTTCTCCCTCTCCCTATGTCTCTTGCCTCTCTCTGTGTCTCTCATGAATAAATCATAAAATACTTTTTAAAAAAAGGATCTAGAACAAAGCATGAACAGAAGGCAAGGCACAGAATGTGTGGGGGGAGCAGGAGGGGATTGGGCTCTGGGGGCCAAGAGAGAGGGTGAGGACGGCCCCTGCACACTCAACCCCGCCCTCTGCACCCACCAAGCTGGAGAAAAGCAACCTCCGGGTGAAGCAGCTGAAGCGGCAGCTGGAGGAGGCCGAGGAGGAGGCGTCCCGGGCTCAGTCGGTCCGCCGGAGGCTGCAGCACGAGCTAGAAGATGTCACAGAGGCCTCGGAGTCCATGAACCGCGAGTTGAACACGCTGAGGAACCGGCTCCGGTAGGGCTGCTTGCGCATGCACACCCACTTGCCCCTGCCCTCCGCCCTCCGCCCTTGTGGTCTTTCCCCCTCCCTCGCCTCCTCCCCCCCTCGCCCTCCTTTAACTTCTGTCTGTCCGTCTCCCCTCCTCCCTGCAGGCGCGGTCCCCTCACCTTCACCACCCGCACTGTGCGCCAGGTCTTCAGGCTGGAGGAGGGCGTGGCATCAGAAGAGGAGGTCGAGGAGGCGGAGCCTGGGGCCGGGCCGCCCCCAGAGCCCGAAGGGCCCCCGGTGTCCCAACCGCAGTGACCCCACCCGTCCCCAGTCCTCAGCTGTGGCCCCTCCCTCCCTGGCCCCTGGCCACCCTTGGCACCCGCCCCAGGAACCCTCCCTCCAGCTTCTAGCACTTTGGAAATGGTGCCGCCCTCTAGCGCTGCAGCACTTATCAACCCTGTGGGGCGGGGGTCGGCACCAAGACCTCCTGTGAACCCCTAAACCCTCCGGGCAAGCAGGGAGACGAGGACCGGGGCTCTTGCTGGGAAGGAGATCCAGGTGGAGTAGGCAAAGCTGTGGTCCCAAAGGGCTCCCCAACATCCTTCAGTTGTGGCTCCCCTGCCGTCCAAAGCTAGGGTTCTCATTCCTTTCCCCCCTCCTCTCACTCCCCCTTCCTCTCTCTCTCCACTTAGCCACTGACCCCTGAACTTCTGAGTGATAGCAGCCTGAGCCCCAGGTCTCCACCAGACCGACCCCTGCAGAGGGGCGGGATAAGGAAATCAGCTCCCCCCTCCTCAATGCTCTGCCCTCCCTCTGGTTGCTCTTGTGTGATCAACTTTGGGTTAGAGTTTCCTGTGGGGGCTGGACGAGGCCCCCTATCCTCCCAGCCTCCAGGCTCTGACAGAAATAAACTCCGACCCCAACCAGACTGCCTTGGGGCTGTGTGTGTTCTTGCACGGGGATCTCTGATGGGGCAGGAGCGCACCGGCTCCTTCAGCCCACCTGCCGGGGCAGCAGGTGGGACAGTCTGCTGGTTCCGATCACAGCTGGCCAGTGTTGGGAGCCCCATTTCACCTTCCTTCCCAGGTGTTCCCGCCATTATACAGATGGGCAAATGAGGCTGCACTCTTCTGTCCCTTGCTCCACGCCTCCCAGGAAGTGGCAGGAGCGATGCCTCGCTCTGGCTGACCCTCAAGTCTTTGCAAAAACGGTGACAGAGTGACTGCTGAGCCATCTGTTGCATAGTGATCCTTTGTTTAGCTGAACATGGGCAAAACGTGGGACACTCGTCTCAACCTTCCGCACAGCACCTAGAACTTGCCTGGCTTGTAGTTGGGACTCACATATTTGCTGAATGAATAGATCGCTCCCTCCTGCCCTGTGAGTGGTGGGAACAAGCCCAAAGAGGTTGAGACACCCCAAAACACAGCTACCAAGCAGATGAACCCATAGTTTGGCTTCAGAGTAGGCCAATGTGGAGCGTGTGGTCCTCGGCCCCTAATGTCTAATTGAAGACTCAGCTCTACCCCTCTCCTGGTCGTCACCCTCACCTCAGAGCTCATATTACCAGGTGCCCTCAGTTTCAAGTTAAGGGTGTGGATCCCCATTTTTACCATCAGGGAGACTGAGGCAGGCCCTTGTGATTTTTCACCCTCCAGAAAAATCACAAGGTGAGAACCAGTGATCAAGAGGGTGTCTGGCCCCCCAGAGTGCACACCCTTGCTACTTGAGTATGATCCGTGCTCTTGAAGACCCAACCCCTCTGTCTGCTCCCATAGCCCCCATCCCGGCACAGATCAGGGGACCCTCCCAGCAAACAGGATGCACCTTGTAAATGAAAAGGAAACTTTTATTTTGGTGGGAAGTGAGAAGGTGGGGGGGGAGGGGGCATGACACTTTTTGTTTGGGGAGGGCAGGTGACATGCGGCAGCTTCTGCATTGGGCGGTTCATGCACCCAGGGTGGGCGTGGGGGAGACTTGGGGGAGGGGCCATCCCGACCCCTCCCTCCCTGCCCTGGGGGTGGGCTGAGAAGACCCGCCGTTAGCACCAGAGTTGGACGATTTTGCAGACCTCCCCTCCCCACACTGACTCCGGACACCCGCCCCCATCCCTGAGAGCGCCCCCCTCGCCACTCCTCCCACCTCCCACTTCCGACAGGCCAGGCCCGCCCCGCCCACGTTTGAGTGAGAGAATCTTATTGCTGTGTGTGATGGGGAGGAGGAGCCGCGGAACTCAGGAGGACCCCCTGCCGGCCGTTCCTCCCCAATCGCCCCGCCCCCCGCCCCGTGTCCGTGCGTTCCCGGAGCGCAGGAGGGGCGCGACATGCGTGTGGGGAGCGCGTCATGCAGCGCATGCGTGTAGTTGCAGGCACCCTGGCGGCCGGGGAGAAAAGGGGAGCGGGACTCGGATGGTGTCCCTTTAGCGCTCTCTCTCTTCCTCCCCGAATCCCACACTGTTGACTTGGGGGATTGGGGTGGAGGTGGCGGTGAGGGACGTGAGTCACGTTTTGTAAAGGTTTATGGTTGTGATTACTTTTAAAAGCTGAACTAAAAAGCTGGGTACGTGTGGCAGATTGGCGAGCAGGGGGAGACGTTGGGAAGAGGTCTGTACCCTTTAGAAAAGATCCTCACGCCCTTTCCCCGCACTGTTCGGCTTCCGGCTTCCGTGAGGGTTAGAGGAATCTGGGGGCTATGTTTTTTGTTTTTGTTTTTTTTAAGAAGTTAAACCCTTTGGCAATATGATCAGTCCCCACCCCCATACCCTGGTGTCTGGAGCCCCTAGCCCTTTGCCTCGTCCCACCCCGCTCCCACCAGAACCTGCCCCACCCCTCACCCCTGATTCACCAGGGTTTAGGGTCCGAGGGAAGGATGGGGGGGACTCAAAATGCCCCTTGCATAGGAATCGTTGCATCAAGAATCGTCCTCAGTGACACCCCCCCAACCCTCAGGTGGGTTGGGGGGGGGTTCCTGAGGCCATGGGAGCAAAGGGAGGGAGGTTGCTAATTCCGTGGGCCTCCAGCTCCAAAAGGTGGGGGAGTCCCCTCTAAGGATTCTGGGACCGGTGCGGTCTCTGGGCTTGGGGGAGGTAGCGCATCCTTGAGCCAGGATGGGATATGAGAAATGATCTTCCACCCGCGAGCATGGCAGGATGAGGAATGCCGGGGAAGGGTGGGCTGGCATCCCAGCCCCGGTAGGCTTGTCGTTTCCCGAGCTTCTGATATGTTCCAGTGTCCCTTCACGGGGGGCACAGCCTCTGCTTTAAGTGGAAACACTCTACCCTAAATAAATGGTGTCTGGGCCAGGCAGCAGTATCTGGACTTACCGGCTTTGAGCAAGATGCCGTAAAAGACAAAACTTTTTAGATTAAGTGTCCTGTACTGCCTAAAACCTTAGCGCATCACCACGGGTACAAATATAACCCTCTGGGAAACACTGATGTCCATGAAGAGGGTCCCTTTTGGGCACCATTGAAGGGGAGGGGCTCTTGGAGGAGGCAGGGCTAGGCATAAGAAAGGGGATGCCGGGGAGAAGGTCTGGTTCCCTGGAATTGCCGACAGGTTGAGCCTATCCTGGAAATTCTAGCATCAGGAGAACCTGAGGTGGATGTTTGATGTCGGAAATTTTGGGACATCGGTGGGGGGGGAGGCCTGAGGATTTGGGGGTGTCCAAGAAATGTCCAAGTGTGGGAAGGATTTGGAGCATCCCAAAGGCTGAAGGGCTGGGTCAAGTCTTGGAGGTTTGAAGTGCTGGGATGCAGTCCAGGCAAATGGGTGGGGTGGGGCTTGGGGGGGGGGCAGCATCTGTATGCAGAGGTGAAGTCCCAGGACCTGGTGGGGATTTAGGGGATGTGGGGTGCCAGGGTTGGTCTCAGGAATCCTGGTGCAGGTCTCATGTCCTGGTCATCTGGAGGGGGTGTTGGGGGAATTTTGTGTGCTAGGGTCAGATCATCCCAGAAATTCTGAGATGGGAGGTCTGAGTCCATGCAGCAAGAACAGAGGCGAGCAGATCCCTTGGGGGTGTGGGGGTGTGGAGGGATGAAAGGGTCATATTCATCAGAGGGATCCCCCTAAAGGCTGAGGGAGCAGCTGTCCACAGCACACCCCCCATGCCTCTGCTCCTACCATCTGAGCTCAGCTCATTTTGTTGTTTTTGGCTTGAGTGACTATACCTCCTTCCCCCACATTGTTGCTAATATATTTTTTACATCAATGTGATGGATTGCCCTCCTGGGGTGAAGGGTAGAAGGCGAGGAGACCCTCCTGACCCCCTTGAGGTCCCTGCCCCCTTCCCAGAGTGCCCCTTCCCTCAATGGCGTGGCATGCAGCCCCTGGCGGCTTATTGCTGAGGTGGAGTTGGAAGGGGGGGTCCAGGCTGAGGGAGGCATGCAGAATAGGGAAGAGGCGCCCCAAAATGTAATTGGCATAATTTGGACGTATTTACAGGAGTTTATGGGAGCGGGATGTCCTATGGCTCATGGAGACCTGAGAAGGCTTTTTATTTGGAGGGGGGGAAGAGTTGGGGGCGGGGCTTGACTTTGGCTCCTTCCCCTCCATCCTGGGGGCCCAGGTGGGGGTGAGGGGTCCGGGGGTGTCTGCTGGCGTCGTCGTCTCGGTTGCATATTATTAATGACTTTTTGATTTTTTTTAAAAAAAAACCCTTTCCCCCACCCCCCACCCCCAGCTCCTTTGACCTTCTTCCCTGTCACCCCCAGTCCCCCCACGGGGGGGAGGGGAGCGCTAGAGGATGGAGGGCAGGGTTGGGGGAGCGCGGCGGGCGGCCCTGGGAGAGCCAGGGGGAGTGGCAAGGGGCGCGAGGCGCAGGGACACCCCGCTCAGGCCCGCGATGCTGCTCAGGCTGCGGGATTTCTCGTAACCTGGGGGGAGGGGTCAGAAACACAGGAGGAAGCATGAAGATGGGGGTGCAGGGGGAGGACCCAACAGACAGAGAGACCCCGAGGCAGGGAAGCAGGGGAGAGATGGCCAGAAAGGACAGGAGATGGAGAGAGAGAGAGAGAGAGAGAGAGAGAGAGAGAGAGAGAGGAACAGGCAAGAGACAGAAAGGTAAGTAGAGAGAGGGTCAGGGATAGAGACAGGGAGACAGGGGTGAGGGAGACAGAAGGGATGACAGAGACAGACAGACACCAAGACGGACAAGACAGACGGCAGAGGCAGAGAGATGGACAGAGGTGGACCAAGGAGATGAAGGGAGAGAGGTGAACAAATCGGACAGTCAGCATCAAGGAGAAAGGTTCAGACATGGGGAGGGGGGAGAGACTCAGGGTTAGGAGGCAGGGTGGTGCCCACCGAGCCTCCCGCACCCCCACCCCACCGAAGCCCACCCCTCCCCTTCCTCTCCCCCTCCCCCGTTGGCCCCCCTTATCTGAGGCAAAAAGGTGGGGGGCAGCGAGGCAGATGGTGGGCAGCAGGGGCATGGGGAGGGAGCTCGGTGGAATGCATGTAGGGGGAGCAGCCGGAGGGGAGGCTCGGGTGGGGGCTGACCTAGTGGTGGGGAAAGGACAGGCAGGTGATGGGGCCGTGAGGGGTGGGAAGGAGCAAAAGCTGGCAGTGCCCCCAGGGTGGGGGGGCGGGAGAGCAGTCTGAGAGGGGCAAAGCTCACCTGGAGGTTGTAATGGGGTATCTTTAAAGGGTCATGAAGCCTTGAGGTGGAAACCTTCTGATGGGAAGGTTCTAACAGGGTCTTGATGGCCAAAAGGGTCTAAGATTGGGGAGCAAGTGTGTGGTTTCTCAAAAGCTTGGGAAGACCTCAGAGTCCTGCCAGTGTCTGGTGGGGAGAAGTTCTAGTGCTTTTCTAGGCGATGCCAAGAGGTCTGTCTGGATGAGGGTGTCTTGACCAGAGGAGAGAGGGCCTGGGGGGTGGGGGGTTGGAAACCCAGTATCTTGGGGACACCCCCTCCCAACCATTCCCAAT